TTTGTTGACTTTCTATTTGGGTTTAGTTCTTCGTCTAGAAGAGACTACTGACTGAATCGATATGTTAAGCATATGAAATCTTAGGATCTTGGAAATACTTGTACAACTCTGCAAAAATTTTTAAGTGAGTGAGATTACTAGGATGTTTTCAGAACGAAACTTTTGACTTGTGATAATGAAATAACGTAGCGATAACTTAAGGACTCTTGAGAAATTAATACCTTAAAAACTACATCATAATGTTTGTATATAAAAATTAGTGGGTCTTCCAAATTATCAGACCGCGAGTATTGAACATACACAATTATAAATGAGATCATTTTCTGATAAATTATTTGTAGGCTATTGCAGTTTGGTGCACAGTCTACAATATTGCTTCACATTCCAGTCAAAAATCTATATACTGTGAGATTTTGTCAAAAAATCTTACGACTGTTGTTAGTATTTTTCACATGTTACAGTATTGAATGGAGTTTTCAAATCAGTCCGGAATAATGAAATCCAGAGAGAAGCCTGGAATTCTCAAAGATGTGGAACGTGTTTTTGAGAGCCATACAGAATTTTCAGAGTTTATAAATATCTTGAGAGTAGACCATATTAAACATATATCTTTCTGCCTATCGAATTTTCAAATAGTTCTGCAGGCTCAGTCCTATCTCGTTCACCACCAAGTGGTGGATATCTGAACCGATATTAAAACCTACCTCTGTTCCTATGTCTCCCATGGACCTTTTGATTTTTTAGTCCATACAGATGTGATAGACCTGGCTTTTCTAATGTGGTCCAATTAAATACATGTCACTTAATGAATGTATTTGTGGGGGAAATGTTACCACCTACATCTATGCTATTCAAAACGAAAAGATCAAGTCGCTCATCATCATTTCCCTTTGGTCCATTTTAGTCATGATATCTTCATATTCAGTGTTCTCTATCATAAACTTGGGGCTGAAATCCCCTCCACAATGGATCATAACCTTGTATAATACAGACATCTATCATGTTGAAAGATGGTTCTGCAACAATGACTTACCCGTCCTATAAGCGCTTTCACGCTTCCTTAAAAAGCATCAGTACGGTTTTTTAAGTGTGGAGTATTTTTCTTTAGCAACCAGAATAATAGCTTAACTGAAATTAAACTTCATCGACTATATTCTTTCCAAGAAGTTTCACTTGTTTTAAGCAACTTTGGGAATATCTTCTCGCTCCTACTGCTGTTTGATATAGCCGTAAGTTTCACGCATTAATTAGATATTCCATATACCCATATGAATTTTTGTTCTAATTGTCAGAAGGGACGGGCCTATGGCTTCAGAATAACTTGAGCTTTCGCCATGAAACATCATGATTTTCTTGAATGCGAACTTCTAAAACTCTAGTTTAAGGGGTTTACCGTGAGTTCGAGAGTATCTTTATAAAAGATAAGGATATTACAACTATGTACAACTCTCATTTACTCAGGCATAGGAACGGCAGTACCACTTGAGGTTCTCTATGCAGATTTGAGTTAGAGCTCTCATGAGAAGATACTTTAATTTCTTTGTTTTCTGGCTTACCATTACTGTTTTCGATGAGCTAACTCTTAAGCCGAAGCTATATATGCATATTTATTTCCGATAAAGCATCCGGTAATTCGAAGATCCAGTATATGAGGTAACGTAAACACATATTCAGGAAAATTTATTTTTAGTGATGGCATAATTAGCTTGATATTATGATTTAAACATACAGTGTCCTCGGAAGCAGTTGTACAGGATAGTGGTTCAATGTTCGTGCTAAGAAAGACAGCAGAAGAATAGTCGTCGAACAAATGCTTGTTAAAAGTTTGTAGGCAAAGCATCCTTTTTAATTAAGTTGAAATCCCTGTCGCATAATCTTTGCCCAATTCAGTGCCACGAAACCTCATATTCAACCATTATGTACATGTTTGCATTTTCGCTTTAGAATCGGGTCTCTTATAGTCCACCGGGTATTGTGAAGTTGTAGTATCAGTTACTATGGTAAACCCATATAGCTTCTTCTAGCTTCTGGACAGACCAATTTATCCATTCTTCTTGAGTCATTCTTTGACCTCATCAGTTATTCGGTTGTTAATCTTGACTGTTTTTATATGAGTGCATGTATGTGCATTGTCTATCCTACTCATAACATATTTGTAGCTTATTTTTGTGACTATAAATATTGATTATCGCTTGATAAAATGGAGTTGGCCCACATATCTCTACTGCACATCGTTTTGTTTTCAAATCAACGAGCGCATGAAATATACATATTCAAGATTCATTCTCGTATTCGAAATATATAATTCCGTTACTCATTAACGCGAAATAAGTCGATAATTATATACGACGATTGACATGTATATTTCAATAATAATCAGCCATACCAGATAACTGGAGTCTGAACCCGGGTCATTAAAACGTCATGAATTTACATGGTAAATCTGACGAATCTTCAGTTACTGAGCTAATGTCTGAGTAACCATTGAGAATTCTGCTTGCTCGTCCGTTACAATCTATTCCTTAACGTTTGCTTCTGTGTAGGGAACTAAGTTGTGGCTGTCGTTGCTCACGGTATGCAGCAAGCGTACTGATAAACAAAAGGTATGTAAGGATAGAAGGCGAAACGTGAGACAATCTAACGGGCTTTTCCGGCTAATTCGGATCAACAGGATCTGGTATTTGTACCAGTAGTCGTACACGGACTAAGAGTATACCATAAACCACTGAACCTCAGTCAAACTATTATTATTAAAAAGTTTGCCAGTTGGTCTACTAGGATTCTTTTTCCATATGGACTTTCTGAGTCGCTTTAAAGTACTACTCATAAGTTAATCATTATTCATTGAACAATCTTTTTATTCTTATGTTAGTAGTTAAGTATGAATTAAGTATTTTCTTATTGCTTGATGCAAATATTATTCGTTCAATCGTACTGAACAAGTCATTTCTTGCACTTTCGAGCTAAATATTATTGGTGAACTCATCACCCTGAATGTACGTTTGTGACTTAAATTAATGGTCGATCATAGTGGGACCACTTTTAAACATATTTGAAGTAGCTGAAACAGCCTTTTGATTTTAATCGACCTGACCTGAGTTATTCCAGTGAATTAAATACTTCTTGCCCATACAAAGTTGTTTTATCCAGATTTTGAAAATCAATGACCAGACTGTCACTCTCTGTTGTTGTCCGACTCATATGCTGATGTAATGCTCCAAAAACACTTGCACAACCTGGTATGCGAGTGTAAAGATGTCTGGTTACGATAAAGCCATATGAACCGAGCCCATGACAAAGTATATAATCAGGGTTATGTAATAATGAACCTGATTAACAATCTTTCACTTGTTGCTTTGCACAGAAGCATCATGTAAGCATAGGCACGTGATATGTCTAGTTCCATCTAGTCCACCAAGTCCTTGAAAATCCTTGGACAGGTGTCTAGATAGTTGATATATGAATACAGTGGTCTTGAGGGCTGTTAAAGTTATGAGGGCGGTCATCGTCTACTGAATTCTCGGGTATTGATCTCCTTCCAGGAGGTCCGCTTATCGACTTAGAATATGCAGATGACATAGTCCTGTTTGGTGAAGACGCTGACAAAATGCAGAGTCTTCTGGTAGCACTAAGCAACAATGCCAGAATGTTTGGAATGCGCTTCTCTCCCTCGAAATGCAAGTTGTTGCTTCAGGACTGGTCTGCGTCAACACCTGAACTAAGGATAGGGAGTGAAGTAGTCGAACGTGTCGACAACTTCACTTATCTTGGAAGTCTGATCAGCCCTAATAGGTTGGTATCGGACGAAATCTCAGCACGGATTCGAAAAGCTCGTTTGGCTTTTGCCAACTTACGTCACCTGTGGCGAAGGCGAGATATCCGTCTATCAATAGAAGGACGAGTATACTGCACAGCAGTCCGTTCTGTTTTAATTTACGGCAGCGAAACATGGCCATTAAGAGTAGAAGACACTCGTAAGCTACTAGTATTTGACCACAGATGCCTTAGAAATACTGCTGGGATCACCGGGTAAGTAATAGTGAGGTTAGACGCAGGGTATTAAGGGATGATGGTAAATCAGTTGATGAGGTTATGAATCTTTATCGACTGAGATGGTTGGGCCACGTGTTACGTATGCCTGAACACCGATTACCACGACGTGCAATGCTACCCGGTATTGGAGATGGTTGGAAGAAAGTTAGGGGCGGCCAAACCAAAACGTGGCATCAGTGCTTAAAGTCACTAACTTCTGGTCTGAGTCATGTTGATAGATGCAGACTACTTGGTTGGGTTCCACGTAACTATCGTAACGAATGGTTGGAGACTCTTAGTGACATGGCTCAGAATCGATCACAATGGCGTCGGTGGATGCACTCCCTGTCTTCCCTTAAAGCATGAGACTAGAATTATTTTATATCTTTCTATCTACGTACTAAATCTTCCTTACTGTACTATATCCTTATTGCAATCTTTCTTTTATATATTACCACAACTGAATTAACTACTTTTATGAATCCGGTACCCATCTTGTTGTGTTAATGAGGTATGGCAACTTGGACGATGCATATATGCGCCTGGTCCTACGTTGTAGCTGACTGACTGACTGACTAGATAGTTGATGCAAATGTAAGTGTCCAGATCAAGAAATATCATTTGAATAAAAGTCAATGGCTTTAACTGAGTATTGTCACTTTGATAAACTATATTGACTGATAGCTGGTTCTCACCATACACTTCGTCATGCTGATTTACGTCGAGCTATAAAAATAAAATGTTATAATGATTATTTTCTAAAAGTAAATGTAAGACAGAACAAGGCAGAATTATTCAATATACTTTTATGAGCAAGAGAGGATGACACTATATGTAAACAATCTAAGAATATGATGAGCGTAAATGAAAAACGATAAAATTAGAGATTATGAAGAAAGTAACGAATAAATAAGCATAAAAAATACGTGATCTGAGTTTTTAAAATTAATTTTCGAGATGTCAGACTACTAATATTGGTAGTTAGGAGAGGAATTCAACACATGTTGGACACCGAAACACTCCAATTGATATACAATATTTAAACAAAGCGCCAAACGTCCAGGAGTAGCTCGTGAATAAAACAGAGAGCGTATACCATTTGGAGGACGAGCGGCTCCAGATAACCAATCACCTGCCCAACATACATTTAGGAGATCACATAAACGGTTGATGAGCTTATTACTTTGTATTTTATGGGATTTTATTGAGTTTTTAAATTCTGCAGTCAAAGAATCAATCTAAAAGCCAATTAAAAGAATGATAATATTTTCAAACAAGAAACGCACACATGGATTAATCGGATTATATTGGTATAGAGTATGACAACAATGAACACCTTCCAATCAAATCAACTGGTTTACGGAATATAATACATCACCGGAAGTAATTGTATGAATTAAAAATATATGATCGGATGTCGATTAGTCCTTCAAAACTCCTCATTTTCTACTTATTCATCTGTACTTAACATTAATTATATTATCAGAATGGGGATTCATAAGTCGATCTAAACTAGACAGTTTTTGTGAATCTTCATCGACTGAGATGGTTGGGCCACGTGGTACGTATGCCTGAACACCGACTACCACGAGTGCAATGCTAACCCGTGCTGGGGATGGTTAGAAGAAAGCCAGAGGTGACCAAGCCAAGACATGGCATCAGTGCTTGAAGTCACTAACTTCTGGTCTGAGCCATGTTGGTAGATGCAGACTACTTGGTTGGGGGTCCGCGTTACTATCGTAACCAATGGTTGGAGACTCTGAGTGACATGGTCCAGAATCGATCATAATGGTGTAGGTGTATATACACTCTGTCTTCCTATAAACTATGAGATTAAAATCGCTTCATATCTCTCTTTTACGTACTAATTCTTTCTTCCTATACTATATCCTTGTATGCAATCTTTCTTTTATATATTACCAACATTGACTTAACTACTCCTATGAATTCGGTATTCATCTTGCTGTGCTAATGCGGTATGGCAACTTGGACCGGTGCATATATATGCCTGGTCCTACGTTGTTACTGACTGAAGCTAGACCGTTAGATGCCGGCTCAATGGTCGAGACTTTAAGCGTTCATGCGCGAGACAGAAGGTTCTGGACTCGAGTTCCGCGTGCGGGGATCGTGGATGCATATTGCTGAGGAGTCCCATACTTGGATAAAACGGCCGTCCAGTGCTTTCAGGTTTTTAATGGTGGTCTAGCTTTATTTGACTCATGAATTCAACTATTAAAATTCATCATACTGATAATTGTTAGAAATTTTTTTTAAAACTTACATTTATGGTTGCAGAATTCATTGGATATTGCGAAAAATCTTTTAAAATATCAACTTCTTGTCTACTGTGAAAATGTCGAATAAGACACCAAGTATGCAAAATATCTGCAATTTCATCAGCATTAGGTCTTTCTGATGGATTACGTTTAAGACATTGATGTAAAATCCATGTCATTATTTTTGGTGCTTCATGAGGAAGTTCAGGCAAAGAATCCTCGGTATAGTTTACTGAAGAAAATGTCTTAAAAAACAGTGGGAATAAATAAATCATCTGATAAAATAGTGATAAATTAAAGTGAGTGAAAATATGAAATTTCAAAAGATACAAAACAATGGTTTCTATGTTAAGTATAATTTAAATATTTCAGTTCATATGTATGCCAGAACAATTGGGCATTGAATCTTTTCTCTTAGTTCAATTCTGGAATTTCTTTTTGATGGAGAGGTTAACCAGATATCAAATATATAACAACACATATGGGGAGTGAATCGATTATTTTCAGCTAATATTTCGATGACACGTTCCTCAGCTTCTTTAAATGAGCTCTTTTGTTGCTTCATTAATAATTGTATCTGGTAAAATGATAAGAGTTTAACTGGAAAGACAATAAAGTATTCTGTACTATAATGCAAGAAATGTCAATTTGTTAAACCTATTTTGTTTTATGGTTGATGGTATTTTGCTAAAATATGTCCCCTTTTGCCAGCAAGTATTATTGCACGACACAACGCTTACTACTGAGAATAGTAAATGGGTAATCCGGTACTAGGAGAGTATAAAGATGTTATTGAAAAGCTGGATTGACACTCATTGAGAAATCAGTAAGTTCTTGTAAGGATACTAGGAGAGCCTCAGGTTATAGTGACTTCTATGATAACGCCCTACTGCGGTAACTGTGTGAACTTCTTATCAACTTTTGCCAGGAATGCATAGGAAACATATCTCTCGAATCAGAAAACTGAGGAAGGGGTAGGCTTTCGTCGCAAAGCTGTTCATATAGTTTTGAAATGACCCAGATCCGGTTCAAAAGCACAACATATTGACTCACTAGTTCGGATTAGTAATCTGTAAACATAGTGGGGTACTTTTGACTATATATCGAACTTAAAGGAATATCTGCTAAATGGAGATTGTACAATCAACCGAAACCGAGGACGAGAACTAGATGACGCGAAAAATCCCAATGAAAATGATTTTATGCTGTAAGTTTACTACTAATCATTGATCATCATTTGTAATATCATTCAGAGTTATGGTTTCGTTTTAAGCGGTTTACTAGTTATGCTACAATAACCGTGAATCTATATGGCTATAGACTGCAAAACAGAAGTAGTGACTAATCTGTACGCTTACTGGTTATATATAGAGCTGGGTAAAACAATCATATCGCATAATAATTAGATTTTACTGGAGGAACTAATGGTAGGAGTTACTAAACAGAAGGCAGTAAGCGGTAGGACAATTCTAATCCAGTATATCGTTTTAAGATACTATTTTCATTGGAACATTCTACACCCCAGACAGTGACCTAAGCTATCTTCTTGGTCTTAACTGATTTGGAAGTTTTCATTGAGCGAGTATTCCTTCTTAGTTTCATATGTCATATAAAATCTATCCCACTATGTTTGCAGACTACTTAACTGAATTATCGAAACAACTTATTGGTATTTTTGAACTATGAGTTATTACACAACAGTACAGACAGGTTTGTGTAGTAGATTTGTTTTACTATAGTGTACTATATTTCAGTCAGATCATGTATTTTATAAGTTGAACTTGTTTAAATGACTTACTCCATCAATAAATGGATTAGGTATTCCAAACAAAGGATAAATTAATGTAGCAATAGCCCATAAATCTGAATGTTTATAATCTTTATTAGTTATAATATTGTGTAAATTGTTTGAATTATCTTTAAGTGAATAAATGATCTGTGCTATTTCTGGAGCTAATAATGCCAAATTTCCACTATGATTAAGATATTCTTCATTATTATTATTATCATCATTAATATGATGATGTCCAGTTTGAATAGCACATCCGAAATCAGTTAATGCAACATGAAAATGTGAATTAATCATTTGTAATCTTTTGTCTAAATGAAATGAAAAGAAAAAAACTATTGAGTACTAACAACCAATACAAATAGAGACAAATTAATGTTTAGCGGAAAGAAAATTCAAGATCTATGATTTTTATCATTCCAATCACGAACTGATCTTAGATAGATTAACAATTAAAACTTGAAAGTACTGGGAAAAAGGACTTTTCGAAAGTATACATCTATAACACCGTCACTGAGGTTCGAACCTGTTATAACTTGTGGTCGCCAATTAAGAGCGCAGTGAATTAATGACTGGATCAAGCAGCCTTGAGTCTTTATCGGTCCTGTTTCCTGCCTAGCCCAGCCAGTTAAGTCCACAACACCAATCTCAGCCTCTGCGATATGAATCACTTGCTCCAAACATACGGGGTTTATATACCAACCAAACAGACCACATCGATCATAAAACAGGAAACAACATTTGTACAAGATTTAGCCAAATATGGCTGTGAATATGGGAGGTAGTAATTAATAGACAGGGCATAACTCAAGAATGGTAAATAGTATAATAATAGGTTATAGCAACTCACGTGCAACTGAGTTTGTTCTCATTTAATTTGGTCAAGCCCTTTTGTTAACTAATTTAGCGGACAAAGTCATCCGTACTATAACAACTTATTGTACCTTTATTATTCTTGTGCTTGTATCAAATATGTATGCTTGAACATTGCTTACAGCCTACGTATATATTCATTCTGCTAGCTTTATTATTAACTGTTTAATTGATTCGATGATCCATTCATTTCCCTATATATATATATATATATATATATATATATATATATATATACATGTACATTTAACACTCTACATCTCGGTTCGCTGACTCACTCACTCGCCTCACTGCTTTGTGGTCTGAGTTATCTGCTAATAAAACTGTAGTCGCTGCTTCTCTTTGCCTTCTGATTTCAAACACCGTTGAGGATTATATGATAACGGTTACGAGGGTGATTGATCAACGAAGCACAGCCGCTACAAGTTCATAGGTCAAAATAAAGCTTATAATAAGAGGGACATGAATATGAATAGTTTAGTTACTTGACAATTATACAATCAAAATAGATGTATATTATTAGTTCATAAATAGATCCTAAAAGTTACCATTCATTATTCTCATCCGGATATAACAGAACCCAAGACCATCGGTTTGTGAGCGAACGCTAATCTTCTAGATCACTGAGATCACAATCGGTAATTGCTTGACTCAACATAGGACAAACATCCAGTTAGGATTTTTTGAAGACTAATCTAGGAAGCAATTTGTGTTTTATACTAGTCTCGTTAGCTAAACGCTAAAACCTAATATTCATCTTAATATACTTCCAAAACATTTTTACCATTTCCAAGTCACTTTATGAACGCTTTGTCACCAGTAGTATAAGAACAAACTTTGGAAATCAAGTCTTTTTTTAATACATATTTTCGCCTTTTGATCTTAATGAAATGAAATTAGACAACTAAATGAATCTAAAATATTTAGTAATATTGATGGTACAATAATAAGGGACACAATAGATTATACTTACCATTTAACCAATTTAGATGGAACTGAACAAAAGTATTATAAGTAGCATTGTTTATATCAGATGTTTGATTAGTATTAAAAAATGGAACACGTCGACGTATAAGTATATTATTTGGTTTGATATCTCTATGAGCAATACCATGCGCTTCAAGTTCGGCAACTGCTTCAAATAATTGAGCAATTATAGCTACAATTTCTTCTACAGGAAGATACATTTCACCATGTTTAATATATGCAGAATTCAATAGGCTTGAATTAAACAAGTAATGTAAATCAGTATGTAATTGAAAAGATGGTGTGAAAGTATTAGAAACATTTGTTTCTTGATATTGACTAATATGTGCAAGATTAGTATTATCACTCTGATTTTGCTTAGATTCAATAATACCTTCGTGATTTATTTCAGTTGGTGATTGTTCGAACTTACATTTTAAATTTCCTCGTAATAGATCATCCAAAGTTGCTTCAAATCTTTAAAACAGAAATAATTCAAAGGTTAAATTGGAATCACTGAAAGTATACAAAATGACCAATATGGTTTAACTGACAACAAATTGTTTGAATTTAATTCAACCGGAGATAATGAAGGATGGTCGTGGAATATCGTGGATTGATTGAGGTTAAACAATAACACCGTTAGATACCTCTGCTCAGTGTCCTAAAAGATAAGCGTTCGTGTGCGAGATCAAAAGTCTTGGGTTTGATTTTCGCGCACGGGGTTGTGGATTCGCTCTTCTGGGGAGTCTTATACTAGAACGAAACGGCCGTCCAGTGCTTTCAGGTTTTCAATGGTGGTGCAACTTAGATCGGTACATGATTTCAATGAACTCAACAATCTCCATAACCTCATGCTGTCAATTTTTTTGTTGTACACATAGAAATGGGACAAGATAGGTAGGTCTTTCAACGAATAATAAAGTATTATCATCTAACCAATATTCTGAAGGTTAGTTTTGTAAAAATCACTTCGCCAGTTTCTCGACATCAGAAAAAAAGCTGTTAGGTATCTTTCTTATGTTTAAACAATATAAAATTGAACTTGTATAGATAAAAACATGATAGTGGTCAACTTTCCCTAGTTGTTATAATGTAGGAAAGATATTTATTGCTATGAAGCTTGACAAAAAAAGAAACTTAATTAGTGTTGATAGTTTTATTGACATGAGAGCATGGCTACAGAGATTGAGAGACAAATATATGAAGCAAATCACATACGATCTTTATGTGAGTAGTTTTTGTGTTAGCTTTATCAACTGAGGTGACTAAGACACATTATTAAACATACCCAACCATCATATATCTTGATATGCAACTTCAGAAGGTTGGAACAGTGCTAAAAGACGAAAAACTAAGAAGTGGTATCATTCGGTGAAGTGATTGTTGGTTTAAGTCATGTTGGGAGGTGGAGACTTTTATTTTGTGTTTTGGGAGACGATCACAAACAGTTGTTAGAGACGTTGGGCAACATAACTAGAAATTTCATCGTAATGGTGAAGATACATTCATTATATGCCCACCTCTTAAGATTTTTAATTATCTCATAATTCCCAACGTCATCCACTTTCTTGAGCTACATTCCATATCATTAGTTCTCATGAATGTTGATACGACTATCGTTACCACTCCTTAGATTTCTATCCTGTAAATTTATTTTCTTGATGTGTGAATATGAAACGTGGCGAAATTTGGCCGATGCTCATATCTATGGTAGATATTAGGTCGTTTACAACAAACTGCAGCTATCTAATATATATCAAATAATAGTATTAAGAATAAAGAGATAAATACTTACCTTGGCATCAACATGTAGAATGTATACGGTCGATTGTCGAAGCCTTCTGAAAAGTATTCTATACCAGGCCAACATTTTGATTGAATAGTTCTATGGTTAAATTGTGAAACTTGACCAGAAGATAAAGCATTATTAGATTCATTATAATTATCATTATGAACATGTGAATCATTTACTGAATTGACTTGAGGTGCACGATCAATAAAATGTCCAACTAATGGAACAATATTAGGATGATTAGTTTGAGGACGAAGTTCACATTCTCTTTGAATTTGACGATGTAATAATACCCAATTATCAGGAATATTTTGTAATGAATTATAATCATAATGTAAATTAGCTTGTTCATTATAAGATGAATTCGCGTAATAGTTATACAGTACTTTCACAGCTAATTTATCAATGAATTCTATGTTAAATTGCAAATTAATAAAGAAAAATATTAATAAAACTGGTTAAGGAAAATATATGAGCTTAGTAAATAAATTACTAGTGTTGAAAGATACTAGATAGATGCTTGATATATAGAAAACATTTAAATATAGAAATTTTAATGGCATTTCAGTGAGTCTGTCAGTCAATGTAGAACACGGCATAAAGATGTATTGTCCTATATTGTCATAACACATCGTCGATCTAAGGTTACACTAACAAGACAAATTATCTAAGGGGTCGAAATAATAGTATTATCAATCATAATATAAAGGACTTGATATAAGGAAGGTGAATCAGAAAGCAGGAATGAAATAAGGGAACAACAAATAGGTGATAAGAATAAAAATATAGGTTGAAAAGATGAATAGATTCGCACAATTTTGAGCTGTCATCAATCAGTACTTACTTACGCCTGTTACTCACAATGGAGCATAGGCCAGTGACCAGTATTCTCTAACCCACTCTATCATGGGCCATCCTTTCCAGTTCTATCCAATCTTTGTTCATTTTTCTCATGTCTGCCTCCATTTCTCGGCGCGATGTGTTCTTTGGTCTTCCTCTTCTCCTTTGCCCTTGAGGATTCCATGTGAGGGCTTGCCTTGTGACGCGATTAGGTTCTTTCCTCAATATGTGTCCTATCCACTTCCAACGCTTCTTCCTGATTTCTTCCTCCGCTGGGATCTGGTTTGTTCTCTCCTATAGTAGGTTCTTGTTGATAGTGTCTGGCCAACGGATCCGAAGTATTTTGCGTAAACAACTGTTAATAAACATTTGTATCTTCTGGATGATGGCTTTCGTAGTTCTTTGGGTTTCCACCCCATACAGTAGAACTGTCTTGGCATTTGTATTGAAAACTCTGACTTTGGTGTTGGTTGACAGTTGTTTTGAGTTTCAGATGTTCTTCAGTTGTAAATATGCTGCTCTTGCTTTGCTGATCCGCTCCCTCACATCTGTATCACATCCACCGTGTTCATCAGTGATGCTGCCCAGATATGTAAAGGCTTTTACATCCTTCAAATCTTCGCCAAGTGTGATTCGATTGGCGCATGCTGTGTTGTATCGGAGAATCTTGCTTTCCCTTTGTGTATGTTGAGACCTACTGCTGCTGAGACTGTTGCTACACTGGTCTCCCGCATTTGCTTTTGTGTGTGCAATAGAAGAGCCAGATCATCTACGAAGTCTAGATCGTCAAGCTGCATCCTAGATGTCCACTGCATACCATGCTTCCCCTCAGATGCTGACGTCTTCATGATCCAGTCGATCACCAAGAGAAAGAGAAAGGGTGAGAGTAAGCAACCTTGCCTGACAACGGTCTTTACCTCGAATGAGTCTGTCAATTGTCCTCCATTCATGATTTAGCAGTTTAATGCATCATAGAAATTTCGTATGATACTGACAATCTTCTCAGGCACGCCGTAGTGTCGAAGAAGCTTCTATAGTGTTGTCCTGTCCACGCTACCAAACGCTTCCTCGTGGTCAATGAAGTTGATGTACAGTGATGAATTCTATTCAATTGATTGTTCCACAATTATCCGTAGTGTTGCGATTTGGTGTGGAGCCCCTCTGGGGCTACTGCAGGTCCCATGTCCGGATAAAGGAGGAGGGTTGGGCATGGGATTAGCGACCCCATCCCGTAGAAAAATAACTTGCTGAAAAAACGCTAAAACTTTATCAATCAGTGGTTACAGTTATTGTGCAAGCTCCAAACACGTAGTCTCTGGCTACCAATATGATTTATAACATTAGTTATTGACTTGATTTCTTCATTTGGTCACCTTAGCTTCGTTCCAATCCATTCTTGATTCAGTCAAAATTGAGGATTGAGGTAGGCAGTGGTTGAGCATGCAAAACTAATGTCCTGTTCACTTTAGGTGATGAGAATCCATAGCTTTATTGACTGATTTTGGATGATTAATCTAACTACTCGATATTAAACTTCAAAATTAATCATCTAAATATGCCACGGTTCGTAAGTAATGGTCTAAAGACATTAAGTACTAGCAACACATGGATGTTTTCTAGCTCACTTTTTTGCGATATCATGAAACAATAGGAACTAGTGCCAGTTAAATTTCATGCAAGTATCCAAGATTATATGTTCGCCAACTAGCCACTATATTGTAATAAAATCACAATGAAGGAAATTTACTTTTTCTCAAGGCTCAAATTATTCACTATGATAGGTAGAAGATAATGTCAGTAACTGACCTTTATCTGCCAAGTCGGCTCATAGTTAAGACTTGACAATCACCAAAAAACTCTTATTCTTAAAATAACTGGGTATATTTTACATCACGGAGTGACCTTATCTAGTCAGTTGTAGAAAACTAGAAGACATTGGTGGAAAGCTTGGGGAGTGACCCCTAATAAAACCACCTACTTCGGTCTGGGCACCTGAGCGGTATCACAGCCCAAACATAAATCAAGTGACTTGTGTAATGCATATGTATTCGATGCCCCTTTGTACCATTATTTATGTATTCAAATATCTAGTCAGCTATCGAAAACTGGGGGACATTGGTTCACTCTTTATGTAGGACTTTTCAACACTGCTCACCGACAACCTTGTCAAAGATTAGTCGCTGCTGTAAATTATTTTCAGATAAGAATATTCCACAAACTTCCTATAATCATAGTGATGATAATAATAATAGTAATAACCAATTGTTTACTAGTGACTGATATCGAAGAGGGATCCCGAAGTTTTAGTGAGAAGCCATAAGCAAAAGAGATCAACCAGGTAGGGCTTGAAATAGCTCATACTAACGGATGTAGATGATGGTAGCGCAATATTGAGAAATGACTAGAGGTGGGGATGTGTATCATTAAAACCAACTTAGTGAGATAACAGTAACGTGTTTGGTATGATGCCTGAAAACCCTGGGTTTGATTTTTGATGGGGTCCTGAAAACACGTTCTTGGACAATCCTATACTAAAACAGAACTACTGTTTAGTGTTACCTGATTTCTAACAGTTATTTATCCAAAATCAGCACGTAACGGAAACTATCTTCAAACTGAACAATTTCCACAAACTTTTAACGCTTTATATATAATAGAATTTTCAATTACCATTATCATTTGGATATTGTTGACGGACTTCAGCTGCCCATACAGCACTGTTACATCCTGCCGCTATGAACTCTTTCGGGTTTATTGAGTCCGCGGAACTTGTACACAAATTAGGCAATATTTGATATTTGTTTGTTCCAAAGATACTTGAAAACCAAGATTCATTTTTTGGTTTACAAATCTTGTTGATCGGGTGAAAAGAATAACTAAAAGATCGTTCAAACGAATTTTTAAATAGAGAAGGATAAGAGGCATATACTATAACTGGAAATTGGTTCTAAACACTTTATTAATTTACAAACATCATTTATTACAAACTGGGAAATAAGTAATCAAAGGTTAATGTAACTCATTTACCAAGTGCATATTTATATATCTGGCATTAACCATATTTTAGGACGAGTGATACTAACCGATTGAGAGGACTGAAGATGATGGAGTGAGATTCAAAAGTCAGATCTATTGACTGGAAGCACAGTGCTTTAACCACGAAGTTACCACTCCATGAGGACTCAAGATTTCATATTATAGGACTGTCACTTATTTTAAGATCGTATTTAGTATTTTTTTAGGTTACGCAAGGACATTTCATTATTTAATAAGCAAGTTAAAATTTATTGCTTGGTTGACCGTTCACGCACATCAGGGAGATAATTATCTTCACAGATTGAAATCATGAGTCAGTTGAAGCTAGACCACCATTGAAAACCTGGAAGCACTGGACGGCCGTTTTGTCCTAGTATGGGACTCCTCAGCAGTGCGCATCCACGATCCCGCACCACGCGGGGCTCGAACCCAGGACCTACTGGCTTCGCGCGTGAGCACTTAACCATTAGACCACTGAGCCGGCATCCAACGGTGTTAACGTCTAACTTCAACCAATCCACGAAGTTGCGCCACCATATACCATTGTCTTCAGTGAGCTGATATTTCAATGGTGGTCTAGCTTCAACTGACTCATGATTTCAATCAGTGAAAATTTCTAAAATCTCCACAAACCCCTTTTGAAGATAATTATCAACCAATAATGTGTAAAAGTAACATTTTGAAAGTCATTCATTCGATGACAACTTCAAAAAATGGCACCATTACTATTCTAAGCAGGTAGTTGTTCCAACTAAGTAAAGTGCTTGCTATACTAAGTCATTAAAAATTACCTATAAGATTATCTATAACTATGAATGACAATGAAGGATGTTTACATTATACTCCCAAATGCCCTGGTATGGCCGAGAGTGGAGAGAGTCCGCTCGCCCTCTCGAAATACTCTCACACGGCCACGCGTATACAGCCTCTGCCAGGGAAGTCCTACTCACTGACTTCTCGTGGCGGGGGTGTTTTTTACGAAAATGAGAGGACGAAAAGCGAATGTTCGGCGCTTTAACCGGATCCCGAACCAATGGTGCACATGGGCTCCAGTATCCTGCGGGAACAAATGGCGTATGAACCAATCGTTGGTCACTGGCTACCATGGGACTGCATCTCCTCACGATGCTCCATTGCCCTGTGGGTCAGACCTTTAGGTTAAAGGCTTGGGGTGTGGCCCCCTAAGAAAACCACCTGCTTCTGTCGGGGCACCCGGATAGTATCACAGCCCTCACACATATCAAATGAGATCTGTGTGGCACATATGTATTTGGTGCCCCCTTGTACCACTATCTGTGTTAAAATAAAATAAAATAAACCAACAACCAAATTCCAACAAAATGACTCGGAAATAACTTCCTTTTATAGACATTTAAATATCCAATATTTAACTCTTCCTTATCAAGAATATGTTACTGTACTCAGCTTTGAGTCACAGATTTGTATGAGATCTAGTAATGTCATTCAATGACAAATGAGTTATATCAAAACACCACTAAAGATCTAAATTCTATGGTATCAATGAATGCCGATTCGAGCTGTAAACGAAAATACAATTCCTTGATCAATATTCGATATATAGCATAGGTCGTTGGTGATGATCTGGCAGTCAAAGCACTTGGCTTCAAATAAATAGGTAACACGTTTAGATCTCGGTTCAGCTACGGTTTAAGAAGAGAGGTATCACTAAGCCTTGCAGTGTGATCAAAATGCTAGTATATAGACTTGTACTACCTGGTTAGCGACACAAAGATGACGTAGACGGATTTAGTATGAGTAATTGACATGCAAAGTTACGTTCATTTTTCCTCTAATCCTTCCTTTATGTAGTTTTATGACTTTTATTACACCAGTACTAGTGTTTCCTTCTTCGCATTGAAGTGTGACGAATTCCGGCAATTCACTAATCTATTATTACAAACCATCCTAACTAATCATTTTTGATCCAAATGTAACCAAAAGCAGAGTATCGAGAACTATTTTACATCAACAAACTTCGTACGCACCAAAGTAATCAGATAATCACAATGTAATATAACATTGATATGGAATGTAATAAATTTAATACAAAAACAATTAATGAGAAGAAACCATGCTTCTTACTTTATGATGAATACATTCTTAGCAGTAAGTATACTTACTCATGTTTGTTAGACACGTAATGCCTCAATTGAACGGATCCAGCGAAACCTCTATATACTCTTAGTAATGAGTTTGGTCGTTGTTGAGTACTACTACTAATAATCTTTCTATATACTGCTCTAACCAATGAGTTGGCTTGTGAATGATTGCCAATATATTTGGTTAATCGTCCGAAATTTGAACAGATACGAGGATATGGTACAAAGTATCTTGGAAGCTAGGGGGAATTTATGTATCAAAATGTTCAATTACCAAGAATGATCTGGGTTGTTTAAGTAATATCACCGGCAGCCTATGTAATCTTCGAAGGTATTTGGTGCCCACAGTTATAACATCATGCCAAGTCATGGGTAAAGTAAACACGAGTGAGCGCTTTTACTTTAAGAGGACAGTGATGAAATCTTCAACAGATTTAAAGAACCTGTCCGGAAAAGAACAGCTTTCAAAACCAACTGCTTATCTTTGGATCACCAACCATGACTTCGTCTTAAATTTAAAAATTTTTTGACAGAGAAACATGAAATCCCTAGAAAACAAATGTAATGTAATTTTATGATAAATTTAAATAATTGAGGTGCAAATCTTCATGTGATCAAAAACCATCACTTCTTCGTGGTATAGTGGCGTGACAACTCGAACTGATGGACATTTTGCCAATTTTTAAGCCGACTATGACTGAAGGCAATTACCCAAAATTAATGTGATTGAAGGAGGCTCGTGTTGTTATGTGGCAATTTTAAAGGTAGTGTCATTACTAAATTAGACGGCTAGGAGGTTAGACTTGACATTTTCGGAAAAAAACGAGCAGTAAGTTGGAAACATTAAATATCAAAGTGTTACTGCCAAAGATCCATTGCTGATCCTACTTTCGGTGATATTGTGTGTTTCAATAGGTGTAGCAAGAACATAGACTCAATGGCTGATAAACCACTATCACCCCATACAAACAGTTAATTATATCACGATGAATAAAACGGTGGTTTAGTCGTTAGGGCACTTGGCCTTTAATGATTGGGTCGCAGCATCTACTTCAGTTTAGGCAACCGAGTAGTAGCATCAACCTGAATACAGTTAGTTCTGCAAACTAATATAGTGCACCTAAAAATTTTTTCAAAGGCAAATTTTTTCTGGAATTCAGTAATACAACTTGATACACTCAAATATTAATCACCAATTTTAATATTGCAATTTTCGGTAAAAACAACAGTTAAAAATTATCATTTTACAGGTGGCAACAGAGGAATTAAACAGTCGATGTGTAGTGTTTATTTTACTTATTCGGTCCCATTATCCGATGTGACCATAAGGAAAGTGTACAGATAGGGACTGTCATATAGTTTCAGTTCATCATACTTTTGTATAGCTAAGGTAAATTACTACACGAAAAAACCGTAGTAATAAAGAGATTCATACAGAACGTCAGTGTTTGCAATTACAGTATAGACTTGGAACCATCAATATCGATCACCGTATTGAGTAGCAGAAACTGTACAATGTTGAGTTTATGCATATAATTTGGTAAGATTTCGAATTAATGTTACTTGTAAATATTTGACCACTACCTGTATGGTGTAATGTTAACTGAAGTGAAACACCACAGAATGTAATAAAGGATGAACTAACGTATTCCAAAGAGAAGTAAATCTACACATACATTAACAGTCAAGGAAGAGGCAATTAAATATTCTTTATATAAAAACTAGGCGGTTGGCTTGAACAATGCGACCAACTGTAGGCTTCTTAAGTTGTTAGGAGGATTGGAGAAATATATAGTGGGAAAAGCTAAGTGAGATGGCCTAAAATCATATTAAGTGGTAAGGATGTGTTTAATATACTAATTCATTTTGTTTTCTGTAATTGTTCTGATGTAATCACTAATAGGTCTTTTATTCGAAAGTAGGCCACGGAAGAATTCGCACATATTCGTATTACTGATTCCAGAGTTTACAAACAAACATCATAAATATCTTTTTCCAAAGAGGCAGCAACCAAAATATTTAGGACTATATAATAATTTTAACATCATGTGAACAAAGTGGTTTCTGGTTCTGCTAGAGGTATGAGAACGACTGTCACTCCACGGCTTCCTACACTGTGAAAGGGTACTTCTTGAAGAACTTGAAGAAGGTTCGTAATGGTTTTAGCTACTTGAGAGCCTAACTCCAGAGGCCACGGTTCAACCGATTGAAGCCGATCACATACAACCTTTTATAAGTAGTTTGGGAATAGTTAGTTCTATACTTTGAAGGCCCTACTGCCAGCGACAGTAATTCGTGGGGTCGCTTAAGGACTGGTTTACGTCGACACTACGATTGATGATTGGGTTTGAAGCGACTGAGCACATCGATTTATTTGATGTCTGATAAAATCTCAACAAAGATTTATAAAGTTCGGTTTACTTTTATTGACTTGGATCACTTGTGGCGTAAACGACCAACCGAAGGACGAGTTCACTGGGAAGCAGTTTGCTTTGTTCTACTTCATGTGTGGAAGGTGAAAATTAAGGAAAATATATCCTTAGGTTACTAGTATTTGATGTAGGTATTTTTTAAAGGATTGTTTACGTATTTTGGGACAATTAGGTGGGTAGCGCTGAGGTTAGGTATAAGCTATTAGGTAAAGATAGTAGATCCGTTGATGAAGTGGTGAATCCTCACCAATTGAAGTAGTTGAGACATGTATTACGTGAGCTCAATTTCGCATACCTTGACGTGAAATGTTATCTAGCGTATCGATAGGTTGAATGAAAGCTATGGAATAAAACATGGCATCGACCCATGAAGTCATTGATGATTAGACTGAACCATGTAGGTAATTAGAAACTACATGGTTGGGGTCTGCGCGATAACCGTATCTGGTTGTTAGATATTTTGGGTGAAACATGTCAGAATCGTTTGGAGTAGTACAGGTGGATCCACCCTTCATATTTTCATAGATCCTGAGTCCCGAAATTCCCTTATCTCTTTTTCCATACTTAATTTATTTTATTACTACTCTTATGGGATTTGCTCTGATAATTTCGCCTCAATACGATAATGTTGTGTAAATACTTAAACTGATAGAAATGTGCTATTTTATACGGTGTATATGACTGACTAACAACATATGCAGTAGTGAATTATCATATGCTACAAACTCATGAAATTAATTGGAGCTAAGAGGGGTGAATTTCTACAATCCATAGGTTTTCTATAACGATGGAGAAGGCAGTGGAAAAGTGTATTACAAAATACCAGATACCTATTCTCGGTGTTAATGTCTAAAGTACGAAAATGTTTTTTTCGAGGTTTAGTGGATAAAGTCTGGGTTTATGTCAACAGAAATTATAGAATGCCAAACTGCAAAAACTACTTAGTAATATAATAATCTAGCTTATTGTGCCTGTAATTTTTGGTTAGAAGTAAAGTAGGGCAACATGTCTCTAACAAGTGTGCAGGATGCTATTAAACTGAACTTGGGTGCATTGTAAACCAGACATTTCCAATGCCGAGGTGTATGAGTAGGTTTGATAGTTCAAATGAAGGGTTCACGTAGATGAGGAGACGAAGTTTTAGTCTGTCTGGCTTTACTATTAAACAGGCTGTACGGCTGGCATGTACAGGCAATTACGTGGTTGCTTATATATAGGTAGAAAAGTGAGATTGATACCAATGAGAATTCCCACAGAATCACATGCTACAATAACATTATTCACAGAACATATTTGCAAATCGTTAATTAATTAATTTACGATGCATCTGTAAAAATTTGGGAACAACTAGAGGATTCTGGTTAAGAATGTACTATTAGGTTTGTATATATAGACCTAATATATATATATATATATATATATATATAATAACATATGTTAGACGAAATCCGAGATTTGTAAGTAATGTCCATAAGAATGACTTTGTTTGTACGAGTAACTATAACTGGTGAAACTGTTTACCTTATTTTGTAGAATTAAAAACATTACCTCAAGAAACTGAAGATATTAGAAACTTAGATCTCAAGGATACTTCTGAGTAGCGCGAAATTAAAAATGGCCGCTACCAACTGCCTAAGAAATAATCCAAACGGTTCAAATAATTGTGTTTTTGGTCTTCAGTCATAAGATTAGTAGGGCGATTAGCCTCTGTTGATTACTACTCTTTTCGGCTGAAGATTCATTTTCTATATGAGAGCGTTCATTGATGGGACAGATACAACTCGTTCTGGTAGACCTTTCCGTGCTTCAAATAGTACTAGACGGAATAGAAAAGGCTTTCATTTAACGGGCTTCCCTGTCTAGTGGCAGTGGATGACCTATGGTTCCAAGTACCCAGGTATATTAAACGATGAAAAGATAAGTATAAATAAATTATAGCAAGATACTGTGCTTAGTCCTTAAGAATACATCACGTTTACTTTTAAAGAACTCTTGGGAATTCACCTGCACTAGCCCGGTCGGCAGCGAATTCAAGAATTTGACCGCTCGTAAAGCGTAAATGGTGTGCCCACAGTTCATTCTACTATGTTGTCTCGAATTTCTGATTGTCTCTCCTAAGGATTGTGTTAGGACTGAACTTAAATCGGTGTTTTAGGGGATAGATAGGAGTGTTTATGGTGCCATAATTCATTGGAAGATCATTGGAAGGTAAAGATGTGAGGTGCTCTTCATAAGGCTTGGTTTTGAGTCTCCGAACTGATTTCGTGGCTAGTAGCTGGATATGTTCTAATATAAACTTGTCTTTCTGAAGTGATTTAGGAAACACTATATTTCCACACTCTAAATGGGGTAGAATAAAACTGTTGAATATTGAGTGGAAAGTTGTACAGTCGAACTGGAGAAAGATGTGTCTGAACGTTGCCAGTTAAAGATTCTCTCGACAGGAATTTCTGTCACAGTTACAACAAGACTACAGATCATAGGGTGGCGATACTCCTAGAACTTTCGCAACTTGCGATACTTCCAGACGGAAGTTACCTAGATTGTTTATGTATTCTGCAACATGTCTCAGGTGAAGTATTTACAAATAGAAGTGTTAAAAGTAAGTTTGAATCGATTCAGGTCCTTCAGAGATGGCAGCTTATCATCTTGATTCCAAACGTCTCTCCGAAGTTTCACATCGTTGGCGAATATAAGTCAAACGATGCTTCTGATGAGGTTCGTTTTGATGATGAGACAGGTATTCAGTGTTTGACAACGCTTTTACCAGCAATACCTTCTAATATAATTCCTTCCCACCAAGAGAAATCAAAAGACAGAGTCGGGGAGATCGGAAGAGTGTATTTGGCGATAACCAATATATCGGAACTCTCTGATCTAATCTGGCTAGCGATTGCGGTAGGTGTTGAGCACAGCGTTGCCACACGTGATCTGGTATGGATGCATGACCGAGCGCCTTCAGCTAGATGATTCCACTAAAACATATTGTCAGCATCCAATCTTGAGAACTTACAGAGCTATTTATTTTGGGGATTTATTTACCACTACAGATCACCCCCCCTAGTGGGGCAGTGACGACCCTAAGACGTGGCCAGCCAGAAGTTTAAACCCAACGAGTTTGTCGTTGGTAAACACTCTTCTGATAGCTTACTAGGTTTAGCAGCGTCTGGTCGTCTTTCCTTACTATATGGGACCGAGGTACAACATAGTAAAAAAAGAAAAGTACAATGAAAATTTCGACTCCTCGTAAACTCATCGTTCTTTTCCAGCCGTCCTGGAAAAGAAAAAAGAAAATGTAAGTGCATGTCGAAATACACTCGTATGTGCGTAAAAACACAATGTCGGCGAAAAAATGGAAAATAAACTCAAGCACACGTAATAGCGTTAGAAAAATGTTTGGTTTTTTTAAAAAATAAAAATAAAAATATATAAGCATATTAAAATTGTTTTTTTAAAAATATTATAAATCGTAAAAGAAAGATCGAGATAATATAAATGTCGAGTAGTGCCTTACGTGCAGTAGTCGTTTAAATGTTCTGGAAATCTTACTCTTCTTCCAGAACGCGTCGTTTTAAGTTTATTTTCAGATACATTCGGAGTATCATCGCTAGTGTTGGTTGTCGGTTGAGGAATTATGAGTGTAGGAGTCGTGTTGTGCGATTGTACCGAAGGAAAGTCGACGTGAATAGGATTTCCTTCTAAATACGCTGCTTTTAAGCGATCGATGCTGATGCTATCGTTGGTTCCGTTCTTATCGACTATATAGTACTTAGATTCACGTTGAAGAACTTTGAAAGGTCCTTCGTATGCTGATTCGAATGGTCGTCGATGCGAGTCTCGACGAATGAAAACGTGTGTACTATATCGTAAGTCAGGTTGAACGAAAACATCAGTTGATTGAGGTCGAGTGGAAGCAGGTTTAACTGAACGCATTGCGTTTGTAAGCCTGTTCGTGTAGGAGGTTAGATCCATGTTCATCGAAGAGCACGAAGGATCCACGAATTCTCCTGGAAGTCGAAGTGTCGTTCCATAAACGAGTTGAGCCGCAGTGTATCCAATGTCAGCTTTCACTGCATTGCGGATACCTAGTAAGACGAGTGGAAGAGCGTCGGTCCATTGTGAAACGTTTGCAGCTGATAGCGAAGCTTTCAGTTGTCGGTGAAAACGTTCTACCAACCCGTTTGCTTGTGGATGGTAGGCGGTCGTTCGGAAGCGAGTGATTCCTAAAAGTGTGGTCAGACGACGGAAAAGATCAGATTCAAACTGACGTCCGCGGTCTGTAGTGATGGTTGAAGGGCAGCCGAAGTTTGCTACCCATCGTTCGACGAAGGTGCGGGCCACTGTTTCAGCAGTGATGTCCTTGATAGGTACTGCTTCTGGCCATCGAGTGAAACGGTCTACGCAGGTTAAGAGGTAAGAGTATCCATTTGAATCTGGTAAAGGTCCTACCAAATCCAGATGAACATGGTCGAAACGAGCATCGGGAGTTTTAAACGAGCCTAAGGGACATTTATTGTGTCTGATAACCTTAGATTTTTGGCAGCTTACACAGGAGCGTGCCCACTCCCTCACGTCTTTATTCATGCCAGGCCAGCAAAATCGTTCTGCTATAAGCTTGATGGTTGCACGAACACCTGGATGAGAAAGTTTGTGCAATGTATTGAAGACATTGCGTCGATAATGTTTCGGCACGATTGGGCGATCCCTACCTGTAGATGTGTCACAAAGTAAGGTTTCCTTACCTGTTCCCATCTGTTTGATGCGTAAGTTTAGGGTTGTGGACGATAACTCGTGCTGAAGATCAGTGTCTTCTTTTTGAAGCTCGGCGAGTTTAAGAAGGTCGATTCCTTGGAAACTGTTCAAGGAAGTTATGCGAGATAAGGCGTCTGCAACTACATTGTTTGCTCCAGAGATGTGTTGAATATCTGAAGTAAACTGCGAAATGTAGTCCAGTTGTCGAGACTCACGGGGAGAGTACTTGTCAGAAGGAGAGCTTAACGAGAAAGTGAGCGGTTTATGGTCCGTGAAAAGAGTGAATTCACGGCCTTCGATATAGTGTTGGAAATGCCGTACAGCACAATACATAGCTAGGAGTTCCCTACCGAATGTGCTGTACCTCGATTCGGTGTCTAGCAACCTTCTAGAGAAAAATGCCAAGGGTTGCCAGGAGTTGTTAACCCATTGTTGTAAGACTCCTCCGATTGCCGAGTCGGATGCGTCTACTGCGATGCTAATGGGTGCTCGGTGTCCTGATGTGCGAGCATTGTTGCTTTAGCGATCAGTTCCTTAACTGTGGAGAATGCTTTTCGTGCGGTGTCGTCCAAATTAATGGATTTCGCATTTCCACGAAGTTGGTCGGTCAGAGGTTTCATAAGTAATGCGCATTGGGTATGAAACGTCTATAGAAACTTACCAGGCCGTTAAACGTGCGTAATTGCTTGACGGTGGTCGGTTCTGGGTAATCCAGAATGGCCGCCACTTTGGTTCTAAGGGGTCGGATACCTTGAGCATCGATAGTGTGTCCCAGAAAGTCTAACGAGTCGGTTCCAAATTGGCATTTCTGAACGTTTACAGTATGCCATGTTTTTGTAATCGTTCGAAAACAAGATCCAGATGCTTGAGATGTGTTTCTCTGTCCGGACTTGCGATTAGACAGTCGTCAACATACGCGTGTACGAAGTTGAGACCTCGAAAAACGTCGTCTATGAATCTTTGGAATGTTTGAGCAGCATTCCTTAGACCGAAAGGCATTCGCAAAAATTCATAGAGTCCGAAGGGATGTCGTCAGTAGCCATAGGGATTTGGTTATACGCTTTAACCAAGTCGATTTTCGAAAAGACAGTTGTACCTTTCAAGGTAGCTGTCAAATCGTGAATGTGAGGCAACGGGTAACGATCGGGAATGGTTTTCGCGTTCAATCGCCGATAGTCGCCAGTTGGACGCCAATCGTTGCTGTCCTTTTTAGGGACCATGTGCAACGGAGATGCATATGGGCTACTTGACGGTCGTATGATTCCTAAGTCTATCATATGGTCGAATTCGTTTTTCGCTAACCTTAGCTTTTCAGGAGCTAGTCGTCGTGCTTTAGAAAATACAGGTGGTCCTGTAGTCGTGATGTGATGTGTAACATTGCTGGTTACACACGGTAGTTTCGGTTGAGTTTGTTGTATCCCAGGGTACTTATCGAGTAGTGGTTGATAGAGTGGGTCTATCATATGCTTAACTGTGACTGGGGATACTCTACAACCAGTAAAAGAAGTTACGCAAACGGACAAATTAGTGTTTCCGTCTACTAGCCTCCGTTTGCGAGTGTCGATGATCAGATTGTGGTGTTGTAGAAGGTCCATACCAATGATTGGCATAGAAACATCTGCAACAACGAAAATCCAGTGGATGGGTTTGCGTAAACCCACGTTAAGGTAAACGTACCTTTTGCCATACGTAGCGATCGGTTTTCCGTTTGCCGCCTGTAAGTTTAGAGTCGATTCGTGAAGTCGGTCGTTAGGATTCGCTGGGAGAACGCTAACTTCTGCGCCAGTGTCGACGAGGTAGCGAACTCTCGTTGTCACATCTGTGACGTATAACAGACGGCTTGTTCGCCGGCTACGGTTGCCGTTAACGCGTGCCGGCTTGGAAGTTTCCCGATTGTTTTCGAGTCACTCGGTTTCGTGTTGGGAAAATTGCAGGGTTTTCTGCAATTTCTGGAAAACTTTCCATACTGGTTATGATACCAGCACCAGTCGGGGTTATCTGTCTCTCGTGGTCTAGAGACAGATCGCTTACGAGAAATGCTTCTACGTGGGGTGCGTGATCGATTACGGTCGGTACGAAGACTAAGATAACGCGTGAGTGTGTGACATAAGTCGGTTATGTCATTCTGAGTCGTGTGAGGCTTTTCTTTGACTGAAAATACCTCGGTAGTAGACGATTTCGTTATTTCTAAAATACGGTCGGCAGATGCAGCTAGCTCGTCTAAGGCGTTGTTCTGGAACGAGACCAGAACTGCTTGCACCTGTTGGGGAAGTTTAGACAAGAAAAGTTGTTTGAATAGACCTTCGTCGAAAGTTCTTGGGCCTATAACCTCTCTCATCCGTTGCAACATGTCCGTCGCAGAACCGTGTTGCAGGTCTATGTTATTGAAGAGTTGATCTAACCTTTGTCGATCGGTTAGGTCTCCTCGTTTAAGAATCGAACGTTTTAAGATTTCGTAAGGTTCGGAAACATCACTAGTAAACATACTAGGTGTTACGTACCTGTTGAATTCCCGCGGTAGTGCCTTGACTACTGCGAGGAATTGTGCACGTGTGTCGTTCACGCCGTGCTCGTGTAAGTCGGCTTCTGCGTAACAGAACCAGGCTTCGATGTTGTCGGGCCAGAAGGGCATGAGTTGGAACGAGGGTGGGGACATGGTTTTAATCTTAAATACCTTAGGAGTCTGTTCAGTCATAGGGGAATATTAAGTACGAGAATACGAGGGAAAAATATAGATATCCTGAGACACGGGGAAAAGGAATATCACAATGTGTAAAAATTAAAAAATAAGGCAATACTATATAAAAATCCCAAAAAGGAACAGACTCACAGTTGCAATTAGGTGTACCAGATCACGTCGGTCTCACCAATGCAGATGAGACAGGTATTCAGTATTTGACAACGCTTTTACCAGCAATACCTTCTAATATAATTCCTTCCCACCAAGAGAAATCAAAGACCAACACCAAAGTCAGAGTTTTCAATACAATGCCAAGACAGTTCTACTGTATGGGGTGGAAACCCAAAGAACTACGAAAGCCATCATCCAGAAGATACAAATGTTTATTAACAGTTGTTTACGCAAAATACTTCGGATCCGTTGGCCAGACACTATCAACAAGAACCTACTATAGGAGAGAACAAACCAGATCCCAGCGGAGGAAGAAATCAGGAAGAAGCGTTGGAAGTGGATAGGACACATATTGAGGAAAGAACCTAATCGCGTCACAAGGCAAGCCCTCACATGGAATCCTCAAGGGCAAAGGAGAAGAGGAAGACCAAAGAACACATCGCGCCGAGAAATGGAGGCAGACATGAGAAAAATGAACAAAGATTGGATAGAACTGGAAAGGATGGCCCATGATAGAGTGGGTTAGAGAATACTGGTCACTGGCCTATGCTCCATTGGGAGTAATAGGCGTAATATGTAAGGGCTTCGGCTTAGCGAATGTGAGAATAGCACGCTAGGCGGTTTTGTGAATAATGAATCCGCTACTCTTGATATGGCAAAATGGACCATTTACAGGTCAGGAGGTGTCTTTCTTCAGATGCTGCAGTTTTCAATGCATATAGTCAACACTTGGGTTGTTGGTTGAGCCATTAGGACCTAGAAACCGGGAAACGCTGGGAGAGGAGGGGGGCTGCTTATCGGAGTAATCTTTTGGGATCGAAGACCACCGGACCCTGTCTTCTCTGACTGTCTTTGTGGCTTTGGTTACTTGCATTTCGTTGACCACTCCATATGAATGTTCGGATTTGATTTTATTCGGCTACGGCTTTTGAGCCTTTTGCAGACGGCCTCAGAGATGACTATTCTTACGGAGAGCCATAAGATATTACTTATCACTCCTAGGTTATTTCTAAAGTACGTGTTATCAATATAAAGTCGCTTCATGTTTTGTGATAAGTACAAGATGTTCAGGTCTATAAACGCGCTTATAAGGGGAGATCGAAAAATCCCTGTCACCGATTGGGTACCTACTACTTGAACACGTTCAAGGGTATTTATTGTCTCCAATTAGATAAGGATAAGCCGCTTAGGTACAGTATCCACGCAATTCGCTAGATCCGCCAGCAGCTTTCACACTACAGTTTGTCTTTGTTATCGAACCATGGCCTACTATTGCATCTAAATGATTATATTATAGAATCTTTTACAGCTACAATCAGATTCTTGAGCTATTCAGAAATGGAAGTCTTAAGTCTTTTACTTTTGGTTGTCATTAGAAGCAGGGTCTTTTATATTTTTTTAGGCTCGATTTTTAGTTGCAGTAACACAATAGTCGCGGTTTCGTGTGTCCGATGTCTAACACTATTAGAGTTTTCAAATCAATTGTTCTAGAACTAAAGTGATTTTCTGTCGTCTTTTGCTTTTTCTGCACTTAAAGGTGCTATTTGCGTTCCTCTCTCTGTGGGCCCACTTAACAATTTTAAGGGTGTGAAGAAAACCCCGTCGTTGTATATACTCATGTTTATTTTCAGCCTCGAAAGGGATGCAGTGTGATCACAAAGTTTGCACTGGACTCACATCGGCTGATTGTAAGAGGTGTTTTAGGGCTCTCTCAGGTTGTCCCGTAGCTCTATGAAGTATCTGCCGTTTAGTGAGGTGACTGAGCAGCTAAACACAACTAGAAGAATACCCCCAGATAAACAGCTAACAGGATTTGAGAGGGGTTATCAAATATCAAGGAAGCAATAGGTGTCACAATGAGTCCAGTCTTAAATCTGGATAAAACCATCAGGGTAGTATATCCAAAAAAAAGAAAATTACAAGAATCTCCAAAATATGCAAGTTGATGATGCCAGTCACGAACCCCATATAGATACCTATATCAACGTAAAACAGATTATGTAGGAGCAACGCCTGAACGTTGTAGACGATTTGATCCATAAACAAAAAAACTAAATAATCGTCATACATTAGCACCTAGACCTGCATATTTGACGCCCGACCGTACTGCAGGGATGAAAATTTTAGGAAATAAAACGTCAAAGCTTGTCAATACAGATCTCGCAGAGAGGTAGTTCATTTTTCGTGGTTAAAAGCATATCCCGCAACGGAAATAAAGTTTAAGTTTGAGCACGATCCAAGCCATACTAATTCTTATATAAGCAAGCTACTCCTAGAAACAATAGCAGAATTTAGGATTCATAAGTTTTACAGGGCAGGACAAGAACATTATTCCAGAAGCATTCAGGTTAGCCTTTCCTTATAATTTACTTTTGCTTCCGCTAATGAACGTAACCTAATACTAGAGAAATCACGCAAGCCAACTTGATCATCAAAATATGTCCTTGCGAATCTCTGTCTGGTTGAACGTATTAAGAGACAAGCGGTAGTGATATAAATAAATGAGTACCACTGGACTAGTGAAAAACCTTATGCCTAGGAGTTTACACACTGTATAAGTTCGGGACAAAACAATCCCGAACTGACCGGGTGGGACGGCAAAGCATTTCACCCAGCTAAACGTATATTATACCAATGCTCGCAGCCTACTAAGGGGTGACGGAAACAGAAAACTCTGATGTCGTTGCTATCTCAGAAACGTGGATGGTAGCTAAATTCAGTTGCTTGGGGCTTTAGTTTGTTGGGCCGACAGACTAAACCATTAAGGTTTTGGTTATCCTCAACACGAAGAGCACCTTAACCGTACGACCTGTAGATAAGAATACACGACTTAGAGACAGGTGAACTAGTGCGTTGCTGGCTGAAATACAAGGGGAAAGACATTGAATTGGTTATAATATAGTGTAGTCCAGAATGTGAAGCTGATAACTCCTTCCTAAACAAACTTTTAGGGCCAGGGAAATGTCTCTGGGCTTTAGACAAATCATTCAGGAGTCGCGTCAGGGAACGTCAAACAGTTCGCGGATCCATGTCAAGCACGAGGAAAACCAACGCGCATATTCGTAAGGAGTAGGTGAGCCTACAGGCCAGTTAACCGTGTTGTATCTGGAATTTTTGAGTATTTCCCCTAAGCTTTGTGTTAGAACTGAACTTGAGAACTGGGCTTATATAACACGGTACTGCTTATTACAGAATACTAAGATTCTACGGACTCTGGTGGTTCCAGATCAGTCTGCAATAGGTTGATGGATTTGTTTATTTACTTACCTATGGTGTCTAGTCGAATATAGATTTTATAATAAACTGAGATCACAAATGCATCCCACGGTTAACTAATAATATTCAAACAGGTTGAAGTGGTTACTTAAATGAGACTAAAGGAAGTAAAGGTCCTTAAAAGTTTTGTTTCCAGCGCGGATAGCGCCCATAAACCGAAGAGAAATCAGAACACAAAGGTCTGGCCATCAAAAAACGTATGAGAGAATCCTTTTTAACACGCGTTATCAAGCTTTATTAATGGAACGATAGTCAATCAAAACAGTAACTTGAAATTTAGCAATAAAAATCAAGAGCAATTTTTAGACAATAAATAAATGTTTCACGACTATGAAAGCCTGAAAATGTAAGGCCAAGTAAACACTCTACGATGGAAAACCAACAACGTGTTAAAAAACTAGGTAAATGTAGTGTAAATAAACTAATCGGGTCGTTTGAAAAATTAATTGTTAAATTATGGACGGCGTGAAACGGTAAAGAGAGAAATAGTTCGCACAACGTCTTATTGGGATTGTTGAAATGTCGTGGGTGCCAACATTTGCTCTAGAATATGTGTATTTTGACTAATGTGGCGGGCGAGAATTTCGAAACGTCTATTGTGTAATTTTAACCAACTAATCAGGTATTTTAGAGGATGATGAAGAGCTTTCAGGATTATGTGTGCCATTAAAAAGTAGTTTCTAAGTTTTCTGTTCCCTAAACTGTATAGATCCGGTAATTTAAGGGGCTTCTCGTAAGACTTAAACTCAATTTGACGATGTGATTTCGTGACCTACCTTGGATACACTGAGAATATTTGTAGAATTATGACCTAGTGCGATATCAGTACATTTATCTTTGCTACTACAATAATAGACCCATCTGTTTGAGCTTATTGATGAAACAAATATGGTCGGCTATATCAAAACCTTTCGAGAAACCAAGGTGTATTATGTTTACTTTATCTTTACGATTGAGAATAGTGGTTCATCTAGTACTTCAGTTAGAAGATTCGTGATGTTGGAGTTCGTAAAATGAAACTTATGGACAAAAGACAATCGATTGGACCTCTGTTGAGGTTGGTAGGATTGTGGGCAAGTGTTACGAATAGAAGACCATACCATCAGCTACAGCGTTTGACAAAATAAGAAAACAGAACATAACAGTTCTACAGAATACTAATATTTCAGAATCACTTCGAATTTTTCCCCTTACGCTGAATGTAAGTAACGAATGCTAGCCTACCAATTTCATTATTTCAGCAATACGGTTAAACAACGGTGTCTTCGGATGTCACTGAAAAATGACGTGCATAATTCCATTTGATACTTCCTCCAAATGTTTTTTCAGCCACAATTTACGTAACTTCAGACAGGGTAATCGACACAACCGACTTCAAATAAGGTGGATATTTGCCTCTGAAGCATGTCATTCTGATTTGAATAGACAAAACCATCATTCTCAATATCGTAACTCCTTGACAGTCCTCGTAAGCTGGAGACCACACTGCCTTAAAGGTTTTGGAAGAGAAGTTCCAGATCTGTAGCTTTAAGGATTAACGTGTTGAACTTCTCCATTGATCAAGGTGATGTGCCCCATCTTCCACTTGTCTAGGACATGACAATGATTTAGGGAACGTAAGGATGACAAACCAAGGGGTGTTGTCTCAAATGAGGTCGCTTCTCTAAGCATAGTGGAGTGAGTCATCTCCGGTTAATGTGATGTGTTTCTGTTTAAATGTCTCACATTGTGGTGCAATAATTCAAAATTTAGGCACAATTTCCAAATTGTTGTAGAGCTTCAGTACATCCCATCACTGATATAATTTTCGGACGACTGGGATGTTTGAAAGTACTGTTCTTTCAGGATCCTTCAAGTAATTGGTTGAGCTGCGAGGACGACTGGGCAACCTTGACTTCGAATTAGGGAAATAAGGCTATATGAAAGAACGAACATTTCGGACAAGATAAAAACTTGTTAATCAGCCAAATCTGGTACTGGCACATATTTTCATTTGGGGACTCTGTGGAAATGGCCCTGACTCGTTATAACTGCATATATCTGCTTTTTGCTAATTCGTCTGAATTACTTTCACTAGTATCTTACCACTCCTAGCGTTTGATTCTGTATGACTTTGGGTTGTTTGGAGCTTATGGTGATCAATTTTGGGGCAGACCGATTTGCAGCAGCACATAGAATCATCTGCGGTGGGAATTCGGCTTTATCAACTGCGAACTTGTAGATTACTACCGTGCGTGATCTTCGTCGAATGACTAGAGGCCTAATGGAGCCAGGCGGGAATGACGTGACCGTTCAGCTCACGTTAAGGTCACACCCCACACGTACTACCTAATGTGGACGACGCTTGCGTCATGTTAAGGTACTATGACCAATCTGATGACCGTACAACGCAGACGATGATATTACAAAGACAAATTAGTGGGAAGGAGTTCAGGGAGCAGAGTGAGACTAACATCACATGGGGGAGTCTATGAGGTGCAATTAATTTAAGTGCACTGGTTGTTATTGACTTTGAAGAGGATCGGTAAGGTGTATGATATCCAATGACCTGACTACTGGATGATTTGGCAAGGGTTATAAAATTTCACCGATCTTACAAATTATCTATCTTGGCTGCGACATTCCAAATTTGAATTTCCAACTCCTGTCATCAGCAGGATATGTTACTCCAGTTTGATAAATAAAGAACTAGGAAGTTGTTTTCATCATTTCCTAAGGAAGTCGGGATCGAGAGGTTATCGGTCGGTAACTGTTCATCAATGAAGACGCCAGTTAGATGTAGCGGGTTTGGTTGTTTCATCATGGAGTTGCTGAGTGACATTTCAAAGCAACCATAGCTCTCTTACGGGGCCAAGGAAATTAGTCTTAGTAAAGTCATCCTCTTCACTGTTGACATTGGGGGTAATGGGCGCGTCGTAGAGTGATACTTCCAGTGTCCGAGTATTGCACTGAATGTTAGCAGTAAGCCTTCTACATGCAACTACAACTAGACACCTTGTACTGCTAGGTAATCTCGCTGAGCAACATAGGGATTCTTCAAGAGTAGCACACTGTTGAATATGCATTTGGTGTGCTTCTAGATAAAAATGTATTTGTATGTAGCTGTTTTCTTGACGTTGGGACATATATACACGCCTGATGTTACTGACCTTCGGTTCATAACTTGAGACACCCAAACACCTGCTTCTACTTTAGTTAGGCGTTTTCTGCATTATTTGATTCATGAAACCTAGCCATTTCATTAGTCAAAGATTCAGAGTCCGTATGTAGTCAGTCATAAATTTTTATCCGGAATGCATTAATGTCCTTGAACTTATTGCTTGACTAATCTAAACATGCACAGGTATTCGGAGCTTGACCAAGCCTTCACACCCAACACCTTTATAATCAACGCATGTCAACCCAGTCAAAACCCGAGTCAGAATTGAAGAGGTTCGAAGATATGTTTGAAAAGCTGTCGATATATCGAGGAGCGTTTAATATAAACTGGCTAACGGCTATAAGAGATGTGTAGCACGGCGCATCCATTCGTGATCTAGCGCAGATGTGTGACCGAGCCCCTTCAACTAGACGTGTTAGTTAAAACTTATGAGGTCAGCATCAAGTGTCGAAGTACTACAGAACCATTGAATTTAGTGATTTATCTCCTGCTTCAGTTAACTCCCATCTGGTGGGGTAGCGTTTACCCTTAAACATGGCCAGCCAGAAGTTTTAAACCAACAACTTTGCCGCTGACGGCTTGCTATGTTTGGCAGCATCTGGTTGTCTTTCTCGAACGTAAGGAGTCATATGGTACAAAATCGCAATGAAATAAAGTGAAATGAAAGTTTCTACTCATCGTAATCTTCATTAGTTTTTCATATTTCCATCTGTCGTAAAAAAGAAGAAAAGAAACCGTAAGTGTGTTTCGAGATACACTCGTACATGCATAATGATTTATTTGCCACTTCCAGCGTGATTACATATAAAATGTCAAACAAAGGGATATGGTATTGAATTGTTATAAATGGTTATTAAAGCTCATAAATTTACGTGTTAATGTGTAGATTCTATAGTATAATCCAAGAGATATGAAGTAAGGCGTGTAAGAGAAAGACTGATGATGGCCTCCGGTGTTCTGTCCTCGGAGCTTGTAATATAAATCATTGAATATTCTCGACCTTCCGAAACGCGCGCTCTTGTCGAGTGTGCTCGACGTCTTCAGAAATTTAGGATGGCTAGCCCAAGGACACGGCGAGTGCTAATGGATGTCAAGAAAACAAATGCGAACCATGTATGTCATTGTTCGCCTTTATGTGGATGAATGACTGTCGTTTCCATTTTTTTCTTGCTGACTTAGTATCCGTGTCTCATTTCCAGTGCGGCCAAATGACCGACATTAAGTTAATGAGGTGGAAAACAATATTTTATTCTATTTTTAAACGTTGTGTCGTGTACTTTACACTAACTCATATCTGACCGGCCACAAAAAAGTGAACTAGATCTATGGAGAAAAAGCTGGACCTTCACTGGAAAGCAAACTGTAAGGATTAACACGAATTGACCAACCTATTATCCTTATTACTGAAGACTGAAATCAGAAAACCTTACCGAACCACTAGTGTAGCGATCTGCGTATAGCCAGAGGGTACTTTATGTATTAGAGTAGCGTAAAAGAGGAGGGCTGGGAAAGAGAACAAAAGAAAAGGTAAGTTGACGACCCAGCAAGCGCACACTATTCACTTGTATTTAGTAACGAGGTCAGTCGATGACAATCAGAAGTAACGCATACCTCGAATTAAGTCAATCTTGGGATCGAAACTAGGATCATATAGTCTAACCGACTATTACTCTGCAGTGGTCTGAATTATATATATATATATATATATATATATATATATATATATAAACCAGCCAAGTACACTTTTCCAACTGTCCTTTCAAGTTGGTCATCCCGTCAAGAAAATAGTTCACAATAAAAAGTGTCATGTCTGTAAAATATTTAACAGCAATATTTCTACCTTGTGGTTTCGCTGATTTTCAAACCTCTGGGAATGTAGTAGTACTTGCTACCTATTAATTTTCATCAAGCTATAATCGTATGAGGTATTATATTGCTGCATAAATTCTTTAAAGATGTCTAATGTCGGCTATCAGCTTTATTTCCGAATGTAAACATTTAAGTATATTCACAGTTGTATTGCTTTCATCCAGGTCTCAACAAAATGAGTACTGGACAAAGTTTTACCTGGACATTCATGATTCCAAGATATATCCTATTAAACTACAGGTTTTATAATCAGTATTTATTTTCATTTGTAGTTATGTTTCGAATGTGGGTCGCCAAATCCTCAATGGGCTAGCGTTACATATGGTATTTGGATATGTTTAGAGTGTTCAGGAAAACATCGTGGATTGGGGGTTCATTTGAGGTAAGTAGTTTTGTGAAAAGTATTGTTCGGTTATTCTAAAACCTTTGCTCTGGTTTTCTATCATTGTCTCTATGAGAACTGGTTAATTATCATAGTGTTAAAATAATGAGATAGTTGTCTTTACGGTTTCACAACAACCTTCGTAATTGCCAGGTCTATTAGTCTCTGCAAGCGAATTTCTTGAGGTACATTTTTGAAACCAGTTAGTAGTAGTTCTACGACATCCAAAAAAACTGGTAGAAATTAGTTTGTATCGTTATTCAAGAAATATTTTTTGGTCTTTCTTTAACATGTTAAGTAGTGTCTAATGTAGTTTTATTTTTGTATTATTCTCATAATCAGTTTTGTTCGCTCAATTAACATGGATAAATGGAAGGAGTTGGAATTGGAAAAAATGAAAGTTGGAGGCAACAGACATGCTAAGGAGTTTTTCGTTTCACAACCTGATTACAGACCTCAGTGGAGTTTTCAAGAAAAGTATAATAGTAAAGCTGCTGCTTTGTTGAGAGATAAGGTTAGTTTAGTATAATCATTATCTTGGTTAACCAGTGACCAAGGTATTCATTACTCAGTGATTACATTATAATTAAATGTATTTAATCCACTGTGGTCCTCCAGTGGGTTGTTTGTTGGACTTGTTTAGGAGTTAATATAATATCTCTTCTCCCAGACAACTGGTAGAGCAAGATTCTGTTTTGTACCTCTGGCTGTACGTTTGGTGCTTAAATCACAAGTTTCAGATTTACGTTCTTGCCCAATAATAGCGGATTACAGCGAATTGTGTTGCGTATAACTAACCACCACCTACCTTGACGCTCAGTGATAATTAGGGTAGGAGTATATTAAAAGAAAGTTGGAAGCAGCCACATCAAGATGTAACATTAGCCTATAAAGTTGTTGAATTTTTTGTCTGAGTCATATTGGTATGTGTAGGCTACCACGTCAAATTCTATGCGATAATCGTGGTCGGTGTTTGAAGATCCTGGGTGAAATGGCTTTAAATCTGATCACAGTAGCTCAAATGCATTTATTTTTCACGTTTCTCTGATTCTTGGGCTTTGATAGTATTCTATAATTTTTAGTATTTTCCACTTTCTTTCTGACTCATATTCCTTATGCTAAGACCTGTATATTATCATTGATACTGTTGTTATTTTGACTCCTTTGATATTCGTTTCGCTAATCACTTGTTATGCTGATTTGATATAGTAACTTGTGCTGAGGTTCGTTCGTGACAGGTTCTACATTGACCATAACGGAACGAATGACGTACAACCCACCATATATGTACATCGTTGACTTGTTGCTATGTTATATATAATGAAATTTGATTAAAATAACTGTCCACTAATTTCTCAGCGTTGTAGATTAATTCATTTAATTTCACTGCTTGCTAACATTTTTAAGACACGGAATTGTCCTTGTAAACTACTCTAAAAATATTTGGTCAGTACTTATTGATATTAGGAATATCTTTTGCAATTTGTTTGTTAAGTTGGTTGTGAAGACTTCTGCACAACATGAAGTTCAAGTAAATTTGGACTTCAAGTAAAGCATCTCAATCACCACGATTGAAGGTGATAAAGATTTGTCATTCAGTAAATGTGATCTTGGAAGTGTTTTGTATTTGTAATTTAGATTTACTAAAACTTTTTTGTCTTACAAGATAGCATTCATACAGATATTGGGTGAAAATGTATTTTCCACGAATAATTTGTTGATACCTTAACTTTATGTGTTCCGTTGTTTTTAGTTGCTTTTCATTATTGAAAACTAAACAGCTAATAGCTCACTTCTTTTTCAAGTGTGTGATAATGATGTCTGGAAAGACAATAAAAACTTCACGATTAAACCACCCAAGTCAGATAACACATAACTCCCAAAATCCTCCTTCAGGGCTACAAATCTTGTCAATTATTGTTGAATGCTAGATTTAACTGGAATTTTAACAGTACACTTGTCAACTGTGGGCTAATTTTGAAAATTAAACTTGAAAAGTTTGGAAGTGTTCTTTTACCGATATTTCCTCATAAAATTTCTGTGTAGTGTAGACTGTCAAGAAATTTAAGTTCAATTAGTGCAGAGTTAAAATTAATGTTAGTATCTTTCGTCCGACTATTTAAGAATAATTTTACGGGTTTAAACATCACAACTTAACTTAGCCTTTTGTGATTTGTAATTAATAGACCTTTAGCAGTCGTCTGATTAATGGATAAAATGTACCAATCGCCTGATAGTATGCAATAATACAATATGTCCAAGTGACAACTGCTCACGTGACAGGATTGTTTAAGCAAGCCTTTAAATGGACTCATATTCGATTATAAGACAGCTGACTGGTAGAAAAGGTCTTTTTCTAAAAAATAACACGCTCATTCCGTACCTATTTATGTTTATTTCTTGGATATGTAACTCAGGGATCCAGAAACGATTTTAATCCATTGGGTTACGAATCTCAGTTATGTCCCACCTACTTTTAGTTTGTGCAGCATAGTGTGATCTCTTACCCTTACCTGCTAAGTGTGACTCAGCATGGAGCACACGTGAGCACACTAATCTGCTTTGGTCATTTTTTTATTGTTACAGATTGCAACTGAAGCGTCTGGTGAGGATTGGGACGAAGAAGCCGCTAATATACGTAATAATAAACCTACCAGTATAAGTCATGTAAAAACAACCGGTGATCTACCATCTTTATCCTCAGATAAACGAAACTTTCATAATCATAATGATTATCAAACCCCTGACTATTATCCTGGATCAAACAAAATGACCAGTTGCCATTCAGATTTGGAATCCTGGTTAAGGGATACAAACTTATCCGAGGAGCATGATTCATCTACAACACTAGCAACGAAGACAACAACAACTTCTGCCAATGCACGTTATGATAAAGTTCCAGATTGGGCTGAGTATGTCAATTTTCAATCCCTGTAATTGCTATGTTTACACTTTGTTTAAGCACACGATAGTTGTTCAGTTTGTATTACTATATGTTCCAGTTGTGAATCGAATAATGCTTATTAGTTAAAGTGTTTAGTTTTGTTAGTCAACTTAGAGACTGAATAGTTCTAGGTGTCTTGTTGCATAAATTTTCGTAATTCCGTAATAATAAATGTTTTACAGTCTTTTCAATTATCAGCGTAACATCATGGTACTTTGTGTTTAGTCGAAAAATTCGTCTTTGATTTTGTATCGAAGAAATTTTTTGAATGAAGTTTGGAGGTGTTTTTTCTCTATCAGGTCTATGATAGGTTTCAATCCTACGCATTTCACGTGTCTTTTTAGAAATTTCGTTTAAGGATTCACACGTAACCTACCTTTTTCTCATTTTATTAGACTTGACAATTAAATTTGATGTCGATTGTTGACAGTAGCATAGATAAAATCGACCTATCTATAGTGAAAACTGACGTCTTATAATAGTCTGTGTCCTTTTTAGCATTGTAACGACAAATCCAGCTGCAAAAGGTCAGATACATACAATGTGTTGGTGAGACTAGTTTTGCTTTTTGCTTGTGAGACCTAAGAACAATATTATTACCACACTAGCTTCAACTTAATATTCAAACTCAACTCACTATTAATCAAAACTTTCATAACTTCTTCCTATGCAACGCTAACATTTATCGTTTAATAATACTAAGTTTTAAAAATGATATCATTAGTTGTGTTTGTCTTGACACGGATAATAAAATACCACCTAGTTGTGGGATAATTACCTTTTTTCCTAATAATGATCTATAATAATCGAGCTAGTGTTAGTGTAGATCCAATTTTTAACATGGTCACATTCACACAAATTTTGTTCCTGATTATGCCGTTTCTTGTGGCATTTCCGTTACTGGAAGGACCAAAGGACGGTTTCATAGAATATTATTGAGCAACTTTTTGCCATTCTGAGATTCATGATTCTCATTTTTGTAAGAATCAGGAACCTTATGCAAAGTTCGTCTGCCTCATAAGTAGTCACAACAGTAACTTACGTCTGTTACCCCTAGTGGAGGAGCATAGGTCGCCCACCCAACCTTGTCCTGGGCAATCCTATCCAGTTGCTGTTCATCCTTTTCATGTCTGCTTCCGATTCTCGACGCGGTGCATTCTTCGGCCTTCCTCTTTTCTGTTTCCCTTCAGGGTTCCAAGTTAGCGCTTGCTTCGTGATGCAGTTTGCTGATTTCCGTAATGTATATCCTATCCTTTTTCTAATTTTCTCTTCATCTGGAAGCTGGTTTGTTCTCTCCTACAGTAGGCTGTTGCTGAGGAGGACATTGAGTATCATGGGTAGACATTTGTTTATAAATACTTGTGCTTCTTTGATGATGGTTGTAGTAGTTCTTCACGTTTCAGCTCCGTACAGTAGGACTGTCTTGACTTTCGTATTGAAGATTCTGACCTTGATATTGGTTGACAGTTGTTTTGAGTTCCATATGTTCTTCAATTGTAGGAATGCGGCCCTTGCTTTACTAATCCTCGCCTTTACATCTGCATCGGATCCTCCTTGTTCATCAATGATGCTTCCCAGGTACGTGAAAGATTCCACATCTTGCAGAGCTTCTCCACCAAATGTGGTTGGGCTGGTGCTCGCTGTGCTGTATCTGAGGATTTTGCTTTTTCCTTTGTGTATGGTGAGGCCTACTGATGCAGATGCTGACGCTACATTAGTTGTCTTCATCTGCATCTGTTTGTGTGTATGAGATAGAGAGGAGCCAGGTCATCTGCGAAGTCCAAATCTTCTGATTGATTGTGAGCTGTCCATTGTATTGCATGCTTTTTCTCATATGTTGAGGTCTTTATAATCCACTCGACCACCAGAAGAAAGAGGAAGGAGAGTCGGCAGACTTGTCTCACTCCGGTCTTTATTTGGAATGCATCTGTCAACTGTCCTTCATGCACGACTTTGAAATGTAATCCATCGTATGAATTCTGTATAATGTCGACGATCTTCTCAGGTACTGCGTAGCACCGAAAACGTTTCCGTAATATTCCCCTATCCATACTGTCAAACGCCTCATAGTCAATGAAGTTGATGTATAGTGACGAGTCTCACTCAACTGATTGTTCGACGATGATCCTTAGTGTCGCGGTTTGGTCTACACGACGAACCCTTGCGGAATCTAGCTTGTTGATCTCGAAATTGGGTGTCTGTTGAGTCTTTCATCCGGTTCAGCAGCACTGTTTAACTTTTCTTGGTTTTGACACACAACAGTAAGAATAAGCAGAAATCAGCCTTAGCGAAGGAAGTCGAGCAATTTTATAAGGTTCCTTTTTACAGGGCTTCATGGGATTGTGAACGCCAAAGTGGCTGATCGATATTGAACTGTTGTTCGAGAGTATATCCATCCCAATCATAAATGTGATTCCTCTGCCTACGAAAACAGTTCATGGATTTTTTGTGCACTTCCTTTTATGCGATGTGTATGTCAAATTCATTTATAATTTTCAGTAGAGGTAAATACCGGAAAACGTGAGCATCTGTCTTCTGATTATTGCTGAAATATCTTTACTATGCTTCTTGATAACAATTGAATTGAGTTTCCATCTTGTTTCTTCCGATGTTTGACTATTTTGTTTTTGGGGTGCCCAGAGCTAAAACAGAAGCGGAAAAAGTGTTTATTAATTGTGGGCGACCTGCTTGAGCATCTGGGTTACCTGTTCCTGCCATCTAGATATTTCAACAAGTTATCTATTTTTGTTTGTTTTAATATATTATTATGTCTTTTAGTCGCATAACCTATTCTGCTGCGTTTCTGAAATGTGTACAACCTTTCGTTGTCAAAGTTACAAAAAACTCAATAAGAGACAATGTGGTTGTTGGCAATATACGACGAAAAGTATGCACATTATTCAGATGTTCATTTACTGAACTGCTAGCATCTAACTGGCGATCACTCAATACTTATCGCCAGGACCGACCAAGAAGAAAGAAACGGAAACTTGTTGAAATACTTTGCGCTGAGAATTCTATATTGTACCAAAAATATAATACTGAATAAAGTTGATGATAATAATAGATGTGGAGATATCATCGAAACACAGTGCATCAGCATTACTAGGCTTGGAATTTTCATAAGAATATAGTTATGGAAGAGGCTTTTAACAATTAATGAGGCAGAATTTCAATTGTTAAAAATCACTACGTAGAGTGGTTATTTATAGATGAACACGATGATATGATATGTGATCGAGTGATGAATGGAATGGAGATGGATAGGTGGATGGTAGTGTTGGTGTTTTCTGAAATAATTCATCTGTAATTGATTTAAAGCGTTGTTGGTACCGATTAGAAATCAATGCCAAAAACATTTTTGCCATATGATCATTTTATTTTATCCTTCTAAACAGTTGAAAAAATGCAATGGAACCTTTCATAAAATGTCTGGTATTGGATAAATACTTCTCAGTCATTTGATTTATTGGTCAGAATAGGTTGAGATCTCTGATACAAGTGCTCAAATCAATCTAGATTGTTGCAATTCACACCATCATATGAAAAGGAGGAATCAATAAGTTACATAGTGGTTAAACAATCTTTATAAGAATCAGTGTAAATGTCGAAGTTTTAGTATATTTCTTTAGTTTTTCATCCATATATATTACTTTTGAACTGTGCAACTTTTGATATGAATATTGTGCTAAATTTGTGTTATTAAAATTAAAATAAAGTGCTATGGTGAAAAAGTGCTTAAAACAAAGTATCTCTCTTTATTTGTCTTACGTCAATTCCATTTCCTAAATATCTTATTGATTTATTGTATTTTAGCTCTAAATTTATGGATGATAATGGTAAATATACGAATTCTTCGTCTAGGCATTATTCATTAGTACCTGAACGAAATGATAAATACGCATGGCAGTCAGTAAGTTGTTTGTGCATTTCATCATTAATCTTGTATTAACTCATTTATGAAGCCCAAGTTTCTGATACTAAGCTATGATCATCACTTCAGATGTGACCTAGGATGCATGGATGACAGTTCTGTTTAGTATTGATGATGACAGAATGCAAAATCTTCTAATCGCATTGAAGAACAATGCCAGTGCGGTGCGTTTGTCTTAAAATGCGAAATTTCCTCTCTAGGACCGATCTGTATCAACGCCTCAACTACTAGGGTTCGGGTGTAAAGTAGTTAGGTTCATCGACTACGTCACTTATCCTGAAAGTTTTATCAGCCCTGGTGGATTGATGTCACGGGAAATCAGAACACGAGATATCTATTTGGCAACCAAAGGACGAGTCTATGGTCAGCAGTTCGTTCTGTTCTAGTTTATGTCTACTACTGCGCGGCTGTCCGTTCTGTTTTAATTTACGGCAGCGAAACATGGCCCTTAAGAGTAGAAGACACCCGTAAGCTACTAGTATTTGACCACAGATGCCTTAGAAATATTGCTGGCATCTGCTGGGATCACCGGGTAAGTAATAGTGAGGTTAGACGCAGGGTATTAGGGAATGATGGTAAATCAGTTGATGAGGTTATGAATCTTCATCGACTGAGATGGTTGGGCCACGTATTACGTATGCCTGAACACCGATTACCGCGACGTGCAATGCTAACCGGTGTAGGGGATGGTTGGAAGAAAGTTAGGGGCGGCCAAACCAAAACGTGGCATCAGTGCCTGAAGTCACTAACTTCTAGTCTGAGCCATGTTGGTAGATGCAGACTACTTGGTTGGGGTCCGCGTGACTTTCGTAACCAATAGTTGGAGACCCTTGGTGACATGGCTCAGAATCGATCACAATGGCGTCGGTGTATACACTCTCTGTCTTCTCTTAAACTAAGAGATTAAGATCACTTCACATCTTTCTTTCTACGAACTAATTCTTTCTTCCTATACTATATCCTTATTGCAATCCTTCTCCTATATATTACCACCTTTGACCTAACCACTCCTATGAATCCAGTGTTCATCTTGCTGTGCTAATGAGGTATGGCAACCTGGGCCGATGCATACATGTGCCTGGTCCTACGTTGTAGCTGACTGACTGAGTTTATGTCTACGAAACGTGATCTTTTTTTAAAATGAGGGATAGTTTACTAACATTTGGTCATATATGCTTTCAAAACATCGCTCGTGTATATGGAGACCATCAAGTGTACGAAATTGAAATTAAGCAAAAGATGCTAGATAAAGGTGGGAAATTGGTTGGTGAGGCTACAAATCATTATTGGCTAAGATAGCTGGGACGTATATTACGTATGTGCAACATTTGTTCTGTAGGAGTAATTTAGAAGGAAGCTTAGTGGGAGCCGAACCAAGGTGTGGCATCAGTCTATGAAGTCATTGATTATAAGTCAGCTGTGTTGGTAGGTGCAAACTACCTGGTCATGGTCTACGTGTCTATCGTGACCAATAGTTATGGACTTTGGGTAACATTGCTCAAAGTCGGTCATAATAATGAGAATGCATTTACTCGTTATTTACCTATTAATCCTGAATTTCAAAACTGTTTTGTACTACTTTCCCTCTAAGTAATTCATTATTCTAAAATCATATCGTTTATGCCTAATGTTTCCTACTATCACTGATACTGTCGCTACTTCTACTACTTTGATATTTGTTTGAAAAATTTCACTGTGCTTAAGTGGTGGGGCAATTCGATTGATAAGCATGTGTATACCAGACTCTACGTTGGTGGTAACCGGCTGACTGACTTCAACTAGATTTATCTCCACTGTTTATTAACAATGTATCAAGTAAATGCATATAATTAGTGCGTCGTTCTTACACAGATTCCTAACTCCAATGACCGAGTTTTGTGTAAAAATCCTGAAACCAAAAGGCGAAATCTGTCTATTATGGAGGGTGGAATGAGCATTGAGAATTTACACACACCAGATTATTAGATATCTGGGTATAGTCTATGTCGTAAAGAGTACAATTAAAGATTAGTCTAAGAAATTGAAAATGCTCTACAACGTCATCAATTTTCGAAGATAATGGTTTATGTTTAAAAAAATAATAGACACAGTTCATGATAAAAATCGTATCACAAAAGTATAAGTAGTAAGAAGAAAAACAATGTTATCGTAATTCAAATTATACATCAAGTTGCTGATACAGAAAGATAAATGATTTGTTGCAACAAAACAATAACATTCGCTTCGATAATTCAGCCTTAGAAACCAAGTCACGTAGTCTAGACTACTTATTACCATCAAGTAGTCCGACGTAATATCTAAAAGATACACAGGAGACTAATTATTATTAATTTTAAGTTGTTGCGTTACTTTTTTTAATTGTGATGTTGTTTTGAAAGCCGTCATTTCTGATTCCTTCGTTTTATTTACTTAGTTTTCATGTAATACTATAATATGCTAGTTCATGTTTGTTGTTTTCTACAATTTTTTCTTACTGATTTGTGTTGAAAGTCATTATTTTGTTTTATAGTTCACATTATGAACTGATTTTAATCAGTTTCCTATTAAAAATCAAGAAATAATGGATAAGTGTTTCGTCCTAGTATGGGCATTCTCAGCTATGGGCATCCACGACCTCATTAGGTGTCAAAACCGAGACCCTTATTATGAGCACTTCACCTTGGGACCATTCAGTTGGAATCCAGTTGTTTACATGTTTACTTTTTCAGTACCATTAATGGGTAACTGCCTCCAACCCTCATCCGCTCCATTGTTCACAGCGTCTCACTAGAAATCTAGGGATTACTTTGGTGAACATATAATTATTATCATCCTAGACAACCATTGAAAATCACGAAACAGTGGATAACTGTTTCATCCTGACACCTTAGTTAACATCAGTCTGTAATATAAGCTATGAAGTTCAACTATCTTCACAAACCCCTTATAGTGTTATAGTGTTATCGTTAAAAGCAGTATATTTTAACTAAAGGATAAAAAGGATAAATAAGCAACAAACAAACCAAAGGCATAACAACACTGAATTCTAATGTTTGAAATAAAAATAATTATATATTTTATTCATAATTTATTTGTTAATTTTTGAATTTGTAATTTTAGGGTTGGGCAATGGTTAGTCAAGTGGCCTCAGTAGCTGCTAAATGTACCAGTCAATTAGCATCTCAAGCAACACAAAAAACCAAAGAATTAACTCAATCCGTTCAGGAAAAAGTGAGTTATATATTAAAGTCACAAAAAAGCTATACTGAAAGGTCTCATAAAATTATATTGTTTTATGCATAATAATAATAATAATAATAATAATAATAATATGGTTTCATAGTTTACAATACACAGTACACACACACACACACCCGTACGCAAGTAACACATTAAAGTGAATTTGATCGACATTGTACGTAAATATTTTTGTTTTTTGATACTTTTTAATTTCCCAATTGTAACCTGTAGTCTGGTTTGTTTATTGTACATTTCATATTCTGTATTGTCGTTGTTATTGTTTAAGTTTTTTTTATTTCCGTTGTTGTTGTTGTTTGTCGTCATATTTCCATATATCATTCATTTAATACTGGAATAAAAAATTAATATCACAGATTGAAATTATGAGTCAATTGAAGCTAGACCACTATGGAAAACCTGGAAGCACTGGACGGTCGTTTCGCGCCTGGCGCGAGACCGATATGTCCTGGGTTCGAATCTCGCGGGGTGCGGGATCGTAGATGCGTACTGCTGAGGAGTCCCATTATCAGGACGAAATGGCCGTTCAGTGCTTCCAGGTTTTTCATGGTGGTCCAGCTTCAATTGACTCATGATTTCAATCTGTGAAATTTCTAAAATCTCCACAAAATCCCTTCTGATAAAAAATTAATCAGCAAAATACCTACAAATAATGTATATTATGTAATAAATCTATCTCATCACTTCTTAGTTGAATTATTAAATATAAGATCTATGTAATTAACATTGAACAATACACATTTCAATATTTGTCCAGGGGAAAATAAATCAAGCAAAGAAATAATAATAATAATAGTTTAGTTAAGTTGTCCTTTTCTGGTATAAGGCATCAAGTTGTGGATCTATAGTCATTGAATGTAAATTTACCATACTATCTGACTGTTTAAACTTTAGTTATAAAATTAAAATCTGTGTTACAACGATTAAATTTCAAGTGTATAAATGATCGAGCTACAAGTGATACGTACTAGTTTGTACATTGTGGATTATCTTTCATGAAAAAACAAATGTTTGTTTGTCAATTTGTGTATAACAGTTTTATGTAATAATATTTTATGAAAGAGTAAATAACTTGTTCTAGGGTTCAAATGTTTTTCTTTTTCATCTATTAAATTAACTATTTGAGGTGTACTATTGTTCACACTGCCTTCTTATGTTTGGGGTGTTGTTTACAAAATTGAGGGGACGAAAAGCAAATGTCCGGAGCTTTAACCGGGTTGGTGGATATGGAGGGTCCACCTGGCCGTTCCAAACCAATGGTGAACATGGGCTCCAGGATCTTAAAAGGACAAATGGCGTATTAACCTATTGTTTGTCACCGGCTACCATGGGACTGCATCCCCTAACGCTGCTCGACTGCCTTGTGGATTAGACCTTCAGGCCAAAGGTTCGGTGAGTGGCCCCCTAAGGAAACCAGCTGCTTCGGTTTGAACACCTGGGCAGTATCACAGCCTTCAAACAAATAAGTGATAACTACCACCGGCCTTATTGTTACTGTATGGTGCATATGTATTTGGTGTCTCCTTGTACCAATGTTTGTGTGTTCAAATAAATGAAATAACTCTTGTTCAATTACCTTGATACAAAGTGTACATTTCCAAGTGCCTTTATATACTCAAATGTTTATATTTGGTTGCTTGCTAAATATTACTTTCAAAACTAATTTGAAATAATAACCACAGAGAAATAATGCAAACTGAATAACTTGACTATCAAAACTACTAGTGTTTTTGAGTGTTTTCCGTCTTAATAACACCTGTTATTAAAATTGTAGTCGTCGTCACCGTCTTTGTCAAATAATCAATGTTGTCCATTTCTTGTTGAATTTTTTTTGTATTTGAAAAAAAGGTTAAAGATAGCAATATTTTGGATTCATTATCAAAAGGTGTTGATACTGTCACCTCAAAGGTTAGTAAGTAGTCTGTTTTTATTAATATGCATGTATCCTAAGGTCGGGATATGTGTGTGTATGATTTTATTATTGTAGTCACTTTTAGGCCATAAAGTTGTATGGTGCATGATAACTTGAAAATTGCCTTTACAATTGAGTTAAAAACTTGATTGTATGCCTCTGCATTAATCATAGGTCGATAATTTTAACTACTCATTGTAAAAATAGAGTAAATTTGTGCCCCCTTTTTCACAGTTGAATTCACGAACTTTTCTTAGCTAGACCCCCACTCAAATCCTAAAAGCCTTAGATAACCATTTTGTTTTAGTGTGGGGCTCCTCAGCAGTAGACGTCCACGGCTCTGCGACCGTTAATTGAACCTAAGACCTTCAGTCTTGTGCGCAAGTGCTTAATCTCTATACTTTTTTGTTGTTTAAAATTGCGTGATCTGTCAAACGATTAAAAGTGAACAGACTAAATAGAATGAAGTTATTATTCAGTATTTTTCGTAGTTCATGCTATTAAGTGTTATTCAATCATACCTAAATGCTGATATATACATGAAACTGTAAGTTTTACCTGTTGTAAAAAGACTAATTTAAGTGGTAAAACACCTAAAATGTACTAAAAAAACCAATCAGTTTCAAGATAGCAACGTTTAATTGTTCTCACGAAATTAAAATCAAAGAAACGCGATGACAGCTCGTTTGTAGCCTATTAAGGTTAAGTAAAATTACTTCTATTTAGTTCTTAAGACTTCTAAAGTATCTGATGTACAACATTTAGTAAATATGACGTCGATTGAAAGCCGAATCAAGGGAAACATTTACTCCGGTTGTCGATATTATCCAAAATGATCATTACTAGGACGTAATTAATTTGTTTCAGTGAATTGTCAAGTGCTTATAGAATTATCTCATGTCCCCTGTTCATTGTGACCTAACCGACAGAGAAAATTTATTGATGTGTAGTATAGGTAATCAATGGTGTTGCAGTTAGGGACATTACCATTGAGCTATTAGGACCATTAACCATATTGTTGGTGGAGGGAGGGATTGATCAAAGCATTTTAATTTTGAAAATTCTAGCCCGTTCAACCGAGTGGAAATTTTGTAAGCAGGAACTAGTTCAAGGATCTTTCTGTAATAACGGAAGTGATTGACAGCAATGCGCATTATAAAATTCTTAATGCGACCTCATCTTACGATCAATCATGTTTTTTTACGAAAAGTTTTATTGATTTGTCTATCGTCAATGAGTTTCTTTTCTTCAAATATTTCATTAGATCCAGGTTAGTTATGTTATAGTTTTAATATAAATAATTATTTTATACACTTTTCTAGTTGCAAACAGTGAAAGCGCAAGGAATTCGAAGTTTTGAATCATATTGGACCAGCAATCCTGAATCAGATTGTCTACCGGAAATTTTGACAAATCATATGGGTCTACTCTCTTCAAGTAGGTTTTAACAATCTAATTCATGTGTGTACAGTCGAATGTGAATGTCATCACTTAAAAGCATAGCTTAGTGTGGATACCATCGATCTATTCTGAGTAAAACTAAGAGTGTATCACATTAACATGTAACTTACTATTTGAAAGTAGTTGCTGGATTTGTTATGAAAATCATTCATACAATCATAATCAATATAGAATCTGACACATGTACATCGGTTCAAGTTTTCATACCAATATTATAAAGCAAAATTATAAAAACAAATACCAGATTAGTAACAATAACAGTACCAGTGGCAGTAGAAAAAATTATTCGGACGGAAAGAATAAATTTGCAGTATAAAAAGTTTAAGTATTTTAGGGCAGAGTGAATGCATCTGTGACATTGTGACTGGTTTCTAGTTATACCATCCAATTTTTCCAACGATTGATCGCGATAATGTGGACCTCAATCAGGTAGTCTATATGTATCATCACGGCTCAATCTAACAGTCAATATCTTTGTGGAGTGGTGTCACCTTCTGACCATCTTTTACTCTTCCAACCCCACTGATTATCTATTACAAACACCCAACGAACAACTACTTAGTTATAATTTTTATTGATTTCACGAACCGATTTAATTTAGACAACCGTTAGAAACTTGGAAGCACTAGACTACAGTTTCGTTTTAGTATGAAACTTAGCAGTGAACCTTTACTACCCTACAACAATAAATCGAACCCAGAACCTTCGATCTCACGTGCAAACGCTTAACCTCAAGATCATTGAACCGACATCCAATGGTGTACAAGTCTAATTTTTATCGATTACTGACTTCACTGAAATTCAACAGTCTCCACTATTTAGTTCCAAGTTGAATTTTACATTATATCTACTCCATTGTAGTTTACTGTTATCATAAATATGATAGAAGTATACAAGTTTCAGTCTAACACATCAATATCTACCTGTTTAGTGCATTATAATGAGTAAAGTAATAGGTTGTCGATTCAGACGTTTAAATTTCTATTATTTAATAGTTAGGTGGTTTATAATTCCCTAGAACATTATGTAATTATAGGAGACTGTTTGACTGTATTATTTAATACTGGCTATTATTTTCTTCGAGATTTAGTGTATGTATAGGTTTCGCAGTGTTTCTATCAATATCGATGTGGTATGAATATATGTGTCGGATCATCTTCATTCTATAACTAATAACTAATTTGTTGATAGCCATAGACGGTGGAAATCAGACAATATTACTTTTTAATGTTAAGATATTTCTCACTATGTACTAAGGTCAGTTGAACGCATAACTTTCACGTTTCTCCAATAAATCAAACATCTGTATAGACCACTGCTGAACGATTTATCGTTGCTAATCTTTAGTAATAAGGATTATTTTCAAAATAACCTTTAATCCTCTGATAAAATCAAATATCCGTATGATCGTCTTATAATATAATTCATAGATATTGACAATAAAAATTGGTTAAATCATTTTAATTTCATTAGTTGAGATCATGAGTCAATTGAATCTAGACCATCATGGAAAACCTGGAAGCACTGGACGGCCACTCTGTCCTATTGTGGGGCTCACCAGCAGCACGCATCCACCACCCCGCCTCGCGAGACCTGAACCCATGACATATCAGTCTCGCGCTCGAGCACTTAACCACTAGACCACTGAGCCGGGATCCAACGGTGTTAATATCTAACTTCAACCAATCCACGAAATTGAGTGACACATCCACCATTGTCTTCCGTGAGTTACTATCACAACTGACCCGGTTGAACTCCATTGGTCACTGCTTCTCACTAGAACTCCAGGAGATACCCCTTGAAGCCAGTCATTAGTGAGCATATGTTGATTAATATCGCGGATCTCAACTATTGAAATTACTATAATATCCACGAAAGCCCCTTCTGATATGAATCATTTTAACTTCAGGAAAACGTATTTAACGAGAATCAAGACATTTTCAGCGAAGTAAATTTTCTTCCTGATGATATTGTTTTCTGAAGATGTACAATAGTTTTTATAGGTAGTTTTTTCTAATTGCACTAGTCTTTAGTAAAATAGTGGTTTTTTTAGGGAGACCCAGTAAATTCCTCGAAAAAAGCTCAAAGGAGCCTTGAAAACTCTGGTACACATTTTATACAATCAACATTCAATAGCAGTTTCTCAGAAAGATTTAGAAAGTAAAAAGTCACGTGTCACGTTTCTGATTGGACGATTACTTATCCTGCTACTATGTTTAGAAGGGGTTCCAGAAGCCTAAGGCCATCTGAAATGCTATAAATACCCTAGATTTTTTGTATATAAATTAACCTTGAAGTAAAGCGTTCTTCTCATATTTCACACTTTTTCTCTCGTGTTCAAGTTGCATTGTAGATTTAGCCTGGTGGTCACTAGAAGAGCTTAGGAAACCGAATCAAGCGTTCGATTAAAAGATTTATCAGGTTTTGCAAAATTAATTAATTATATGATAGTTCTTATAAGTAGTAAAAAGTAATAATCTATGAGATATAAGGGAAACGAAGAGAAGAAGCTATTACTTAGCATTTATAATTTGTGAAATTTCAGAGAGCGACTAAAACCATTGTAGTAGAATTGATTAGATTCAAACAGTTTATCTGCTTCAACTGAATAATCACACTAATGAAGTTAAATCGATTGCGCATAATACTACTACCGGTTGTGTTACCTAGGTGACTAATGTAACTTATTACTATTGATGATGTATAATTATTGATGAATTCCAGTGGTTTACTTTCGAATTAGCTTGTTTACATCGTTATTCATCTTATTTTGTTTTATATATTCAATTTTCCTTGGTTTGTATCCTGGTGTGGATTATAGGCTTGTACTGTTGTAAAGAGTCCAAAGTTTAAGACATGATAACTTTCTTCAATGTTATTTAGTCTTTGATAGTTCAATTTTTTTTATATCCATTGAATATGATCATTATATTATCGAATCCATTAATATGTTCTCTCTTGAACTAATAACGCATGTCTTTGAACAATAACTGAAAATCCTTACTCTTTATTGATCTAAACAGCTTTTTTAAAATCCCCAGTAAACAATCAGGATATGAAGATGTCAATTACACTTACCTTCTATTGTTGTGTAGTTGTCATGAAATAAAAGCTCAAAGAATTACATAGATCAATTACTTGTTCACAATATGTCACAAATAAGGTATCATAATTTGTACACAACTAAATCACATATACTATAAAACTAAGAAATAAGTGTACAATTAATTAATAATTTTAAACATTAAAGCGTATTACAATAGTTCATGAATGAAATGAAACCTTATGATAAAAGTAATATAAAAATACCAGGATTCAAGTATTTAATAAATAGACGCTTATATATATCTTCATGAACGATTTCTGTAAGTTCCATTTTACCCAATTATTTTCCCTCCTCACTTCCTTCAAGTGTAATAAGTCCTCCAGTCAATATCGATCAGTGAATTAGATTGACGCCAATTGATCGACATAAATATCTTGATCAAGAATTGTTGATTTATTTGAATTCTTATATTTCTTTTAATCATTCTCTGCTAGTAATCGTGAACAAGATCGTTCCAGTTCATGTTTCTTGATCGACACCTACAACATGGAACCGATTCGTTTAATAGAAGTGAAGGAAAAGGTAATGCTTTTTCGTTCACATTCAAAATGAAGGATGTTTCGTGTGCAACTGTGTGTTATGGACGAGGTTTTTGACAACTATTGAAACGGGATTTCAGTTGATAAATTCACTGTGTAGAGTAGTTATTTATAGATGAACACAATGATATGATGTGTGGCCAAGTGATGGTTAGTTATGAGACTGTATTATTGACAGAATTCGCCGAATAATTAAGGATGACTGACAAGACTACTAGTTGTATGAATATATTTTCTATGTGATATATTAATATAGTTATATTTGGAATGTGAACAGAAAATAAAAATGATAGAATGTAATGGGGAATCGGAGTAAATTAGCCTATAGTTCACTGGCCCGGGGACGTGACCGTAGATTTCAAGGGACAACTTCTCATGGCCGATAACACGACCTTTTTATGACAAGTTTGTAATGTGTGTTAGTTACGTACTTCAAACTGTCTTATTATCAGAGAAGAATCTGTATGGTAAGGTGAGGTTTAACATTTCCTTCTATTGTGAGAAGCTCCATCGTCGCAGGTTCCTGTTGTCTATCGAAAACACCTTAATTCTGTCACACCCCTGTACAGTCAGCAGTATGACCTCACTCTCGAACCTTAAGTTTGTAATTTTAGTCTTACCGATCTCCAACCGACCTACCTGGGATGGTAGGATCCTAAAAGAACAAGTGTTCCAGTTAGTCTATCTCGATTGGTTGATTACAATAGACAAACCCGACTATCACTTCAAGGTAGCAGCTACTGTCAGCTACAACCATAGTGTTTTATTCGTATTCCTCCCAACACACGCAATTAAAGAAAAAGAGGAAATGAGTGGTTTCACACAAAAGCTTTTGGTATCTCCTAACTAGGCGAAAACACGATTCGACTATTTCATACCCGACTATTTCTGTCTGTCATCGCACAACTATAATCGCGTAATTCCAACTTCTTGCTATTGCCAAGCTCATATATATATTTTACAGAGACTTCATCATTACATACACTTAGGGACCTATTTTGCATGGAGTTGCCTTAGCAACTTTTGTCAACTTATGTCATACTTGCAAGAGATTGGATCACTTGAATTTTCAGTGTTAGTTATTGATAATATTAATACTTGGTAATTATTCCAAATAGTGATAATGATAGTTTATTGTTTGATGTGAAAGATAATTGTATAGGATCAACTGGAAGATATTGTACTGTGTACTTTGATTATTTCTTAACATTTCTATCAATTTATGGGTTGTGTTAATTTATAAATAAATAAAGTAATATGTTCATTAGTTTTGACTAATCAGTCAGTCAGTCAGTCAGTCAGTCAGTCAGTCAGTCAGTCAGTCAGTCAGTCAGTCAGTCAGTCAGTCAGTCAGTCAGTCAGTCAGTCAGTCAGTCAGTCAGTCAGTAACAACGTAGAACTTCGTACGTACGTACATCAGTTCGAGTTGCCACACCACATTAGCACAGAGATGCAGTTGTCGATTCAAATCCCGTAGTGGTAGAGGTAATAAGAGTATAAGCAGTAATCGGGAAGATTAGGGTTTGGAGATGTTATTTAAAGAGTATAATCCAGTGAAATAAATTTGGAAAGAGGAAAAAAGGGACATGAAGAATTCAGAAGATTAGAATTTGGGAGAACACAGAGTGGATGCACCTGCGCCATTGCAAACGATTTCGAGCCATGTCATTCAGGGTCTCTAACCATCGGTTGCTATCATCTCGCGGTCCCCAACCAGGTAGTCTACACCTACCAACATGACTCAGTCCACTTGTCAGTGACTTCATGGACTTGTGCCATGTTTTGGTTTGGCCGCCCCTAGCTTTCTTCCAACCTACTCCTATACCACTGAACATAGCACCTCGAGGCAGTCTTGACTAATAATAATTAAAGTATCATTCGTAAACATATCTGTAATTGTAATGAAACCGAAAACATATAGATTGATGAATTTATATTCTCAACAATTGAAATGATGAGTCAATTGAAGTTAGGCCACCATGGAAAACCTGGAAGCACTGGACGGCCGTTTCGTCCTAGTATGGGACCCCTCAGTGACAGTGCGCATCCACGATCCCGCACTCCGCGAGATTCGAACGCAGGACCTATACTTATAATCGACAAAATTTCATGAAAAAAATGCAAAAGGGTTTATTTTACTTTCAATAGCTCACTCCATCTATGATCCAAGCAATATATTAGACTATATGTTAAAGGGTATGCACTACTCACCAGTGCATTATATTACTTAGCGAGTGGAAAAGATCCGTATGTCTTTCATTGTTATTTTTTTAAAGATCATCTTGTAATCTATGTATGGATGTGCGTGATTGATTAATCAGCATTCTGATGAGTACTTTTTGCCTTATATGTAGTTCTTTAAGAAATGCAGCGTGAGATTATAACTACTGTATTTAATGATTTTCGGACTAGGTTGACCTTATCTCATTCAAAATACACCTTATTTGTGAGAAACACACTTGAGCCATCTTCGTTTCCATTGTTTTAAACATCTCCCTCTACTATAAATCCTCAAAAATCAGACTCATCAGTTACCTTGCCATTTTACATCTTGTCGTCTTCTATATCGTTACTTAGTTTTTTAGTAAAATGTCTTCTTGCGGCAGCCATTCATTATATACCACTCGAAAGGCTGCTCATTCTCTTGGAAACCTCAACATAGAAGGCAGTATTCGTTGTTTGTCCCTTAGGAATAGATTCATGGTGAACTCTGTCATAAATGTCAAAACGATAAGTAGCATTACTTGTTTATAGGCTTTTTAATTTTTGAGTCTCATACATTGTTTTCCATTCTTTGTTCTATGATTTCAATTCAATGTTTAATTAGATCCATAGTTAGTATTTCATATAGATCAGTCCATGTATTATTAGATAAACTATGTAAGTTATTTGAAATAGGTTACCTTAAAAAGAATAATCATTTAAACAAACAAATATCCTTCATATTATTGTTTAGGGGCTTCATTGTCGAATTCCAATTGGAATAACAATGAAACCTGTGATTGGGATTTAAGCAATGATCATGGATGGGGATCGATTGATGATGATGGTTGGTCTACTACAACTGCTGGTGGTGGTAATTCTAGGACAACACTAACTAATGAATCAGTTGTACAACGTGATTCCAAACTTGAAAACAATGGTTACAATCGAAGAAGCCGTAAAAATTCTTAGATTCAATTACTTGATAATTTAAATTCTCCCAATCTCTTTTTTTGTTGTTGTTGTTTTGTTTGAAAGTATGATCAAAGTCATTTATCTTATCTTGTTTGTATACTGTAACTATTCATTTCTTGACTCTTTTGTTTGTTTTTTTTGATTGAATAAAAATTGTTTTTCCCCCTATTCTTTATTTAATTCGAAATAATGTGTAATTTATTTTCAATCTGAAGAAATCTCTTTCATTTACTATATATATCTATCTTGATTTCGCTATGTAATCTTTATATAGTAGGAATTAAAGATGCACACATCTATAAATTATAATCACTTGCAATGGTAACTAAGCCAATGATCTTTCTCTCTTTGATTTCTTGTCTTTTTTGTTTTAAACCCATTTGGCGTTTTGTACGATATTAGTATCACTAATTCAGTAGTAGTACTGTGTTTGGTGTGAGTAATATATAGTGTGAAACGTTTGCACGGTTTAAGTAAAAATCATCTTTATGTGGTTACGTTTTTTTTTACAGACAGATGTGACTTATCCAATATGTTCGCTTGTTCAATTTTGTTTGTGTTACTCGGATTCAATTACTCAGTAATTAGGCTTATAATTTATGAATGGTGAATTTAAATGTTGTTCAATGACTTCTATGAAGATGGACCGTAGTAACTGGGGTGGTCTTTGTTTAGCAATTTCAACACATGGATCGGTGATATATTACCGGTGTATTTAACTTTTAATAATTAGATTTTAGGTTCAGATCCACCTTATTTCTGTGGATAATGTCAGTAGGTCTCACATAGAACAATGCAGTTTAAATTTGAATAGATGGATTTGTGAACTAGTGATGAATTTGTAAAAGTCCTGAGTCTTATGCGAAATTGTTCTTGGTATTTTTTGTTTACTAATGAGTAGTATATCACTTATCTAAAATTATCATGTCCACTAGTTACAGTCGTAATTTCATGTGTAGAATGTTTCTCTGTGTTGGATGTTTACATTGATACAAAGCAATGCTACCGGGATTTCCTTCATAGCGAATTTCTATATTTTCTCAACTGTACGTTTTTCCACGGTTTTGTGAATGCATTGAAATAAGCAACAGCATATCGTGTCTTGCCACCTTCAATCTGCGTCTGCGTGTACGTAGGTAAAGGGATCATTTACTTTGTTTAATATATTGTTTCTCGCAGTTAGTACAATTTGTTCTGTAGGTTGCTCATGTTGTTCTGTATAACTTGGCTTCCTGTATACTTGTGTGTTTAATTTACAGATTAATAAATAATAGACAGTGTTGTTTCATCACAATTTTGACTTCTGTTGCTGATGTGATAACCATCGTGAAAGCTCAGTGTTCTTTCATTCGTTTAGGAATTATTAATTTTGAAGTGTTGTAGCGTATTCGTCGCCCGGTATTTCTAGTTCACATAGGTCTCATTTGTTTTTTAAGAATTTCCCAATCATTTGTAATTCCAGGATTATCGTACTTTAGCCTACTTCAAAACAAAAACAGGAGGATAACAAATATGTTATTTACAGAACGTATCCAAATCTTTAATTAAATGTTAGACGGAACTGTAACTTCGTCCTAGCTTTGCCGTTCCTATCATTGTGAATTGAATCATGCATTCTGATACACTTGATTTTTCACTAAACACCAATTACATTTTGATAAATTACATCATTGCATTTTTGTTGATCCTCTTTAGCAGTTTTCGTTTAACCAGAAGTTAATTTGTGTACTAGGAGAATACTCAGAATATCATTAGTGAGGAGAATTGAATAAGAGAAGAATGAAAGAGAAGATTAACATATAACCTAAAAAACTTATAAAATACACTTACATTTAATATGGAAAGCAACAGATAACAATCAACAGTAACGTAATATTGAGATTAAACCAATCTGGAAATCTAAACTCAGTGCGCCCCCAAATGCCCTGGTACTGCCGAGAGTGGGTAGAGTCAGCTCTCCCTCTCCAAATGCCCTCACATGGCCATGCGTATACAGCCACTGTCAAGGAAGACCTACCCACTGCCTTCTCGTAGTGGGGGTGTTGCTTATGGAATTCAGACGATGGAAAGCGAATGCCCGGCACTTTAACCAAGTTGGTTGACATGGAGGATCCCAGTGAGGGAAGTTACGCAGGAGAGTTGGAAATTCATATTTCCAAACCAACAGTGTACATGGGCTCCAGGATCATGAAAGAACAAATGACGTATGAACCAATTATTGATCGACGGCTGCCATGAGACTGTATCTTCTGATGTAGCTCCACTGCCTTGTGGATTAGACTATTAGGGCCCCCAAATGCCCTGGTACGGCCGAGAGTGAGTGAAGTCGGCCCTCCCTCTCCAAATGCTCTCACATGGCCACGAGTATATAGCCTCTGTCAGGTAAGTCCTACTCACTGCCTTCTCGTGGCGGGGGTGTTGTTTATGAAATTGAGAGGTCGGAAAGCGAATGTCCGGCGCTTTAACTGGGTCGGTGGATATGGAGAGTCTACCTAAGGGAATGGGAAAACCCTCATTCCAAACCAATGGTGCACATGGGCTCCACGATCCTGATGGAACAAATGGCGTATGAACCAATCTTTGATCGCCGACTACCATGAGACTGCGTCCCCTTATGATGCTCCACTGCCTTATGGATCAGACCTTCAAGTCGAAGGCTCTGGGGGGGGCGTCGTAAGAAAACCACCTGGTTCGGTTTGGGCACTCGGTCAGTATCATAGCCCTCACACATATAAAATGAGATCTGTGTGGCGCATATGCATTTGGTTCCCCCTTGTACCAATATCTATGTGTTAAATGATAAATAAATAAGACTATTAGGTCAAAGGCCCGGGGCGCGGCACTTAAGAAAACCGCGTGTTTCGATTTGGGAACCGGGACAGTATTCTAGCTTTCACATAAATCGAATGATTTATGTGTCGCATATCTGTTTGGTGCCTCCTTGTCCAATGCTTATGTGTTTAAATAAATAAATAGAAACGATACAGGTAGTGTAGAGTTTCTAACCCGTTACATCTCTTTCAGTTATCAAAAATGACTATAATTCAAATTTTGAAGAAACAATTAATTTTAATGGTAATTAAAACGAAACGATCCATTTAAAAAAATCAGGTAAGAGAAATAAATCTAATTTCATGTTTTCAACCCATTTGTGTTCAAAGTTTATTTCCAAATGTGAGACTGATAGGTTCAGGGTTTGAATCTCGCGTGGCGGGGTCGTGGATGCCCACTGCTGAGGAGTCCCATAATGGGACGAAACGGTCATCCAGTGCATCCAGGTTTTCCATGGTGGTCTTGCTTGAATCGGCTGATGATCTCAACTATTGATTTCAATTTATTGTACTAAATTTTTTAATATTTACTAGGTAAATCCATGAGCTCAAGCCAGAACTGTGCGTACAAAAGAACTACGTCCTATTCTTATCGTTAACTTGGCCTTAATTATTATTGTTTTTATTATTACTGCATTCTCCCTTTTACTTATGTCTCATATTCCCATTATTTTATTCATAAGTAGTTATATCGCTTTATTTTCTTTTTACACTTCTATGACCTTTGATGACCTTTAATTATTATAACAAAAACATTTTATCAGTATAGGGGTGGTGGAGATCAATAAGTTTTTGATTGAGATCATGAACTGATTGATGTTAGACCACCATTGAAAACCTGGAAGCACAGGACGGCTGTTTCGTCCTATTGTGGAACTCCTCAGCAGTGCGCATCCACGATCCCGCTCGCAGGATTCGAACATCCAGAGCCTTCAGTCTCGCGTGCGAATGCTTCCAGGTTTTCAATGGTGGTCTAATATCAATTGGTTCATGATCTCAATCAAAAACATTTTAGTCATTTTACTACATTCACGTTATAATTCGTTACTAACTTAGTCTATTGTTATCAACCATATTACGCAATCTAGCGTTGTAATCTTTCGATTGCATCATTGTGGTTACTCCTTGTTCATATGTTCTCACGGAACAAGTACTTTAACAAAAAAGAAGTTTCATGTATATACGATTGTGCAGCTTGATAATAAATTCGTTGGATAGCGGTCCCTTCACTGTACTTCGTGTTTTTAAATGAATGTTATATCCCGACGAGAATAGTAGAGAACTATTTATGAACCGATACGATACATATATTTTTATTGTGTAACTTATTAAGTAAGTGACCTATGTATATTCATGTTGCTCTTATTATAAGCATTTTTGATCTATAGACTATTATTATACGATTTACCGTTCTTAAGTTATGCCCCAATCAATTAATTGAAGTCTTTCACATTTACAGCCACTTTTTGACTAAATCTTATACAAATGTTGTTTCCTATTTTATAGTACGATGTGGTCTGTTTGATTTTTGTATATAAATAAAGTATGTTTACAATACATGATACATATCACAGAGGTTGAGATTAGTGTTCTGAATTCAACAAATAGGACTAGATAAGGATACGAACCGATAAGAACTCTAAACTGTTCGTACTGGTTTTTACGCGTTATTGGTTTGGTTGATAAGTCACTGTTCTTTAATTGACGATATTATTACGTCATTTTATTGATGGGGGTATAAGGTCTACCATAACTATTATTATTATTATTCTTTATACCTTTATACACATTTATTTATTATGGACAATATATAATACATAAAAATTACGTGACATTAGATTATCTCTTATTTCATTGAAATCTCCTTTATTGTTTTGATAACCACAATTATATGTCGTTTTGATTTTTATAAGTTTCTAAGTAGACAAAAGGGATAATAATAATAATAATAATAATAATAATAATAATTCCTCTACGGTTATTACATTCAACTATTGCGGATTCCGATTGAGAATATACAGAGTTTCTAGTAGGTGGTTGGTGGTGATGGTTTGTGTACATATATATATATATATATATATATATATATATATATATATATATATATATATATATATATATATATATATAATATATATATATATATATATATATATATATAAGAGGTAATGAAATAGAAATGAGTTGGGAATAAAAAAACTGATATGCATCTTTGAATTGGCGACTATTTATGCTTTTAAATGATTGATTTTATATTCTAAAATAAATTGTTACATAAGAATTAGAAGAATTTATTGTTAAATAAGTTTAATTTCAGTGGTTAAGATCATGAGTCAGTTGAATCTAGACCATCATGGAAAACCTGGAAGCACTGGATGGCTGCTTTGTCTTATTGTGGGGCTCCTCAGCAGTGTGCATTCACAACCTCGACTCATGAGATTCGAACCCAGGACCCATCAGTTTCACGCACTAATGCTTAACCTCTAGACCATTGAGCCAGCTTGTATCCAATAGTGTTAATGTCTAACTTCAACTAATCCACGAAATCGAGCGACACATCTATCATTGTCTTCAGTGAGTTACTATCTCACAATAGACCCGATTGAACTCCACTGTTCACTACTTCTCACTAGAACTCCAGGATATATCTCTTGAAGCCATTCACTAGTGAGCATATGTTGATTAATATCAGATGGGTTTTGTGGATACTATGGTAATTTCAATGGTGGATGTGTCGCTCAATTCCGTGGATTAGTTGAAGTTAAATATTAACACCGTTGCCTGCCGGC